TGCATGAAACATTCTTAATTGATGGGGGGGGATTACAATTATTCCACAAAAGGTCTTTAAAGTTTTTTATTGTACCATTAAACACTCCTGCTATAGGCTATAAATATACAGGGAAATGCACAAATAATGAAACTAATATTTATCGAGTACACCGTAATTTTAAGCAATAGGGACATTGTGCATTAAAGTTTGCTTTGTAAAAAGTTGTCGAGATTAGCCTGACTGGTCTTGCCTTCTTTTCATTGTGCATTATAATACAGAGTGAATATCTTTTCTCTGCCTCCCTGAATTGGCGTTCTCTTAAGTTTCAATCAGCTTCCAGAATTTTAGCCTTCGTGATTTTGGTGTTGTGAAACGTCTCGGCGAGTCCCTTTAATGGGGAATTCATTGCCAGTCTCAGCTCCTGAGGGACACCTGCATCCTCTTTGTCTCAACCACTTTGCTCATCTGTGCACCTGCGTTTGGCCTTTCCAACCCCCTCGGGCAGCTTCTCTGCACTTCTCTGATAGTGACAGCATCAGCATTCCCACAGCCAGCAATCTCTGCTATTCGGTCCTGTTCAAATCCTGCAAAGGTATTTGCAGTGTGCTAAGTTTCTGCTAGGCTGCATGCACATGACTTGCCGTTGCTTCCTGCCACGAGGCTCACATATTTTCATGTTTCGTATTATATTTCATCCAGAACTCAGGCAGTGAAACTGCATGATCACCAACTGCAGCCTGAAAAGTCTCTTCAAAAGTCTGTGAAAGATAAAAGATTTTTAAAGTTGAAATAACTCTGTGGCCCAATGGCTGGATATGAAGTTAATGAAGTTGTACTTGGTAATGAATAGGAAGTTACCGCATCTTCATTTCAATCCCCCAAGAGAATTAGGGTGGCCGAGGGCATTACCCAGTAGTGGTAGTTAAGTTTGAACAGTTGAATCTTTTGGCCTATAGTCTTTCTACTGCTGAGGGGCGAGGAGGCAACATGGCTCCACGAGATGTTGTCCGTGTGGCACTTCATGACGGACGGGCAGGCTGATCAGAGACAGATCACAGTGCCTGGTCACGGATCGCGAAGTGCATCTGCTATTCTCACTGTGGTCTGTGGACAGAGGAAATGGTCAAGCTTCATGCAGTTACTCACTGTTAAAATACTGGGTAACTGAAATTTGAACCATGTGGTTGGGGGGACGAGTGTTACTTAATGAAACAAGGCAACTGATATTTTTGCACAGTGGAACTGCACAAAGTGACTGCCTTACTGTGATTTGAGAGCAACTTCAAACAGAAAAAGAAAAATTGAGAAACTGTGATTTTTTTAAGTTATTTGAATATCTTCTTTGACTTCAATTTCTTAATATACTTCTGATTTTTTTATTAAATATCCCTCATAATTTTATTACCATTTGCTTAGTCCATGACCCCAAGCTATTGGTAGAAACCTCTTTCGTGCAGTTCTACAAAATGTGACGAGTGTTAAGTACAAGACATAGTCCTAGGCTCTTTTTTTAAGGACACAGTGACACTATATTAGTGAGTCTACCACATATGTTGATTTCTGTCCCCACAAACACACATGCAGAGCCACATAACTGTGATCACCTGCCACCCTGGAATATGACCACCCCTGCATGTGGGGGTCTCAAAGTATCTAAAAACAAATGCAGTTGGGTTCACTAATAATAAGGACAACATTTATTCAACACGTATTTTGTGATAGGTAATGGGATGAGTTCTTTTTTAATCTTAAAAATTGTTGGGGCTGGGGATTTAGCTCAGTTGTTCTGCCGCCTGCCTCACAAGCGCGAGGTCCTGAGTTCGATCCCCAGTACCAAAAAAATAAAAAAATTTCAAAAAATGATTCCAAAAAATGTATTACAATGAAAGACACGTGTCATCAACCCCTTCAAAATATTCTCCCTCTCACTGGGAACATACTTTGACGAGTTCCTAAGTATTTCATAAAATTATTACAACCTCATTACAAATCTGCAGAAACTGAGCTTGGAGTGGTTATATGATTTGTCTACATAAAAAAGGAAAAAATGTCTCTTAGGCAGTACTTGCCTTAGAGCTGTTTCTGAAAGCTGAACGCTGTGTTCACAACTGGTTCTAACCAGCAGAGCCTGTTCAGGACCCGAACCTGGAGGGCCATAGGCAGATCAAACTGGACTAAATGCGTAGATACGTCTCCGACCGAGGACACTGGGTCTTGATCTGCCTAACCACACAGTCTTGTGAACTCGTGCCACTCTTTCCATAATGCAAATCTTTTACTCTTCATGAACAAACTGTGAGCCAGGATGCCCACCCTGTGGTCGCTGCCCTTACCCCTCAGCTCACTACTTAGTGAACTTCTTCCCTCGCGTGTTCCTTTGCCTGGCAGGGAAATGAACGCACCTTTGCTTTCGGAGCTAGCTGGTGGTGATCTTGGTTTATTGGTTGTTACTCAAGATCATACACCAAGTGACAGAACTGGTAGACAAATCCATTTTCCCGCTGCAACTCTTGAGCTCAATTTCCATGTTAATGTTAATTAAATGATGGGAGCAAATGACATCCAAGCTAGCTAGTTCCAACATACAGAGAGGAGGAAGCTCTTCTATACTCTTTGTCCAGCTAACTTTCAATCATTTTTCTCTTTACAGTGGCAGGATCCTCACCCTTGGGAAGTCCTTCCTATTATAATAATAAAAAATAATATTGATGGCAATAACAGTGCAATAATACTAACAACACCACCGTAGCAATTTAAATGTAGCCAGCGTTCACCCTGTGCCAGGCTCTGTTTTCCCACTATCTCAAGCCAGGCGTGAGTTGTCTAGTTTCCTTGTAGAACTTCAGAAAGCTACTATTCCTTTTGTAAATCTGGGGTAAAGCAGCTAAGTATGGAGAGGTAGGGACTGTGATAAACTAGAGACAAACAAGGGAACGGTGTCCATTTGAGGGCAGCGCTGATTCTCCATTTCCATGACTTGTTGTAAAAGAATACAGGCCCAGTCTTACCAGGTTTGAAAAAGGCACTGAAAATCTAGGTTATTGGGTAAAATTTACTCCTTTTTATGATACATTGTAAACCAAACAAAACACATTCACAAGCTGAAATGTGCCCTGTCCATAGCTTCTGCTGCAGACCTTTGGGCTGAGGCAGGATCGGATCAGAGCCACTTTACCAGCATTTCAGAACCAGCTGTGCTATTTTCTGTGGCTTCTGGCAAGTTACTTTCCCTCTGTAAACCTCAATTTTTTTATCCACAAAATGCATATTTAAATAGTAGATATTTTATAGGTTGTTAAAAGGAAGAGGTTAATATTTTCTTTTTTTCATTAAGTTTATTGATACATTTTAGTTATATAATATGATGACATTCATCATTGGGAATTTGTACCTTTACATGATATATCTTGATTCTTATTTTTTCCCACATTCTCCTGCCCTCCCTTCAACCTCTCCACCCCTCCCTATTTACAAAGATGTTGTTTCTGTTTTTTCCTTCTTTTCTCATATTTTTTCCTTTCACTTCTTTCCTTTCCCCTACCCCTACCACTTCCCCTTCCCCTTCCCCTTTGGACCTTTTCTTGCAGTTTCACATTATTTATTATACATTTTGATCCTCATTTACACTTTCAGTTTCTCAAGCCAGAGAAACTATTTGGTATTTACACACGTGTGTCCTGCTTATTTCACTTAAGCATATAGCCTCAATGTGCATCCATTTAGCTATAAATGTCTCTAGTTGATCACTTTTTATGGCTGAGTAGTACTCCATTTTATTTTTTTAAAACCCATATCTTCTATACCCAGTCACAAGTTGATGGGCATTTGGGCTGTTTCTAAGATTTAGCTGTTACAAACTGTGCTGCTATAAACATGAGTGAACATACATTGTTGTGGTATAATGCTTTTAATTCTTTGGGGAAGATACCCAGAAGAGGGAATAGCTTAGTCAAATGGGACCTCTAATCCTAGTTTTTTGAGACATCTTCACACTGATTTCCACAGTGGTTGCACCAGTCTACACTCCCATCAGCAGTGGAGAAGCATTTGTTAATGGTTGATTTCATGATAGCAGCTATTCTTTCTGGAGTAAGGTGGAATCTCGGTGTTGCTTTCAACTGCATCTCACGAATGACCAGTGATCCTGAACATTTTTTCATATGTTTATTTGCTCTTTCTACTTCTTTGCCTGAGAAATGTCTGTTCAATTCAGATGCCCATTTTTGTTTTTTGGGTTTATTTATTTATTTATTTATTTTTGGTGCTGGGGATCGAACTCAGGACCTTGCGCTTGTGAGGCAGGCGGCAGCACCACTGAGCTAAATCCCTGGTCCCTGGATGCCCATTTTTGGATGGGGTCTTTAAATTTGGAGGTCTGTTTTTTTTTAAGTTCTTTATAGATTCGAGATAATAGACCTTTGTCTGAGGAACTGCTGGTAAACATTTTTCCCATGCTGTGTGCTGTCTCTTCACACTGTTGGTGGTTTCTCTTGCTGTGCAGAAGCTTTCTAATGAGATGAAATTTCAGTTGTTGATTCTTCAGTATTTTCTCTTTTGACTCTCTAAAGTGCTTGGTAAGATATCTAACATTTCATAAGTATTTGGGTTTTTCCCCCATTCATCTTCCCGTCCTTGAACTGGCCCCCCACACCCCTCTCCCTGCCCCATGAAGGTTTGAGGGTCTCATCCCAAGGATGTACATTCTGGATCTGACCATAGATAACACCTAGACTCCCAACAGACAGACAAACAACCCTTCTGTCATGTTCAATGGTTCATTGAAATGTTGGTTGAATTAAGACAGGTAAAGAATTAACCATATTTATTTTACTACATTAAAGCATTTTTATGATGATATGGAACCACTGGGCTGAACTGATAAAAAAGTTACTTGTGGAATACCATGCAGACCAAGATGAAGGACTTCTGTTTGGTGAAAATGAATGTATGAGTTTTCAAAACTTTTGTTTTTGCCATCTCACCTTTCAGAATATCTAATGATGTGTCGAATTTTTCAGTTTATCGTTATTAGAAGAATTTGACTGTAGCTGTAACGAGCTCGAGTCGCTGCCTTCGACAATTGGCTACCTTCACAGTCTGCGAACCCTAGCAGTTGATGAGAACTTCCTTCCGGAATTGCCTAGAGAAGTGAGGAATAAACTTGCCTTCTAGCGACTAACTCAAGGAAACTGTTTTGCAATGAAATCCTAACAGATGTAGTAGCAGTAGAGATCATGAGCTGAGCATCTCTCTGTCTATTTATACAGAGTTGGAAGGGTGCTGTTGTGCATGCATGTGCGTTAATTATTCTATTTTAAAGACAAGTGACAAATTCTAATATTTAACTTAAAAAATGCATTTGACTTAATGTTGCATGCTAATAATAATATATTAAATATTAAAGTATTAAATCAATGCTAAGGAATAAAATTTTAGATCACTTAATTTCCATGTTTCATTTTTAAGAACAATTATAAATAGCATTTTGAGATTATTACTTTTATACTTCTGAAGTGAAAAGGATTTTTGCTGTAAATATGTTTGTAAGGTTTCATGTTGCATTACAGTATTATTTTAACTTCCAGATCCACCAAGAAATTCTGTTAATTTTTATCTCTAAATTGGATTTTGCTTACTGTCAGGCAAAAGCATGAAATATACTTTCAATTTAATATTTTCTACTAAACACTTCCATAATGATGGAACAATAATCAATATATCATTATTTTGGAGCCAAAAGTTATGAACAAAAATGACAAATACCATTGTAATGTGGAGAAAAATTAGCTTTGCCAAGGAACTGTCAATATTTCATTTTATGAACATTTGTGCTCTGCTGTTATAAACAGATAGATTAGTACACACTCACGTGGGTAGAAAAACACTGTGATCTATGAAAACAATTGTGTCAGCAAGTATTTTAACAGTAAAATTGTTAAGAAAATGTTTCCTTCCTAATATAAAAGAAAATGGGGTATCTATTGCCTTACTATCTAAAAGTATACCCAGTACCCCAAAATAAATAAATAAATAAAAGTATACACATATTTTTAAAAGCAGGATTATAAAAATAAGGCAATACACATTTTAAAAGAAAGTTGAAAGTAATAGAGAAGTCTGAGTTAATTAAAATGATTTATAAATTTTAAAAATTATGTAAATTGGCATATTACTGTGATTCTTGACTTATTTTGTCCTTTTCGCTACCCATAGATTGGAAGCTGCAAGAATGTAACAGTGATGTCTCTCCGCTCCAACAAGCTAGAATTCCTTCCTGAAGAAATTGGTCAGATGCAGAAACTGAGAGTTTTAAATTTAAGTGATAACAGGTATTTTGCAACATTTCATAATTGCATTCTGGTCATCTACTATTATCAAGTTATTGCTCTTTATAATTTTGGAAATATTTTCTATATCATATAAGGTATATGGAATGCAAATACATATGCTTTCTATAGACAATGCAAAAACTAAATTATTTTTAAAGTAAATCTAACTTTTACTATTTGGTTATATTAAAATCATATTACATTATACATTAAATTTATATAAAATCTATACACCTAAATTTAGATATCAAAACCCTCCCATATGTAGGAACCATAGTTCTAGGAAAACATGGGGATATAATTGTAGTAAAAAGCTGTGAAAATTATTTTCTGATTAGTAAAGTATACTAATAAATAAAAATATATTTTTTTACAATACGTGTATCTATTGTACACATGCATGTGTCTTCACATATATGTTTACTTATCTCTCCAACAAATCTACTGGGTAATATGTATATTTTGACCCCAGCAGAGTGCTGGTAAAGAATGTCGCGAGTAAGGTTATTACTCAAAGGTCATAAAGTTTGAACATTATAGCAAGTACAACCAAATAGCTACTTAGTCAGGTGCAAAATACAGCAACCTAAAACAGGAGAGGCCCTCCACTTGTGACAAAACTGTTATATTGATAGATAGGTAAGAAGAAAAAGGGAAAATTTGCAATTCTTTGTTTCTACCTTCTCTATAAATGGCACATATCCTAAAATAGAAAAAGTAAAAGTAGATGTTGACTAGAAGTAACTAAGCTGATAATGTGATTACAGAACAAAATGCATGAAAGCAGACTCTCCAGTAAGTTTTCATCAGACAAATGATGTATGAGGAACTAAGAGACCTTGTGATGCAACTGTCAAAGATGGGCTTCTATGAAATCATGAAGAATATTCATGGAAGTTTCAGGATAGGAAGGGAAATTCTCATTTGTTTATAGCTTATTTAAGGAAAGAGTTGTGGATTTTAAAAACTATTCTCTTAGTAGCTCCTTAATATTTCTACACAAAAAGAATAAAGCTTTTTATTAAAAGGTTTGGGATTTTATTTATAAACTCAGGGTTGCAAGGAGGCACGAAAGCTCTGTGTGTCAAGGTTAAGCCATGTCAAACCAATATCCTTTCCTCCTCTGGTGGAGTTGCCAGACTGGAAAGTGAGGGAAATGTACTTATTGAATATTACATCTGACTTTCAGCAAGATAGTCTTTCAAATCTCTCCTTCCTTATGAATTAGACTAGGAGATATGTCATGAAGATGTCATAAGTGGATGTACTCCTATGGGAGTCAAATGCAGTCCCAGTGGAACCATTATTGCTGAGTTGGAGAAGGGGTCTAGGTGATGGGCTACAGAATTTCTCTCCTAAATTCTTGACCTCTCAAATTCTGCCATTGGTAATATGCATGACTGTATAGAAAAAATACTTACCCAATGTTACACATGGTTCATAACTAGAAGGACTGTTAATGCTTTGGAGTTACTTATTCAACAAATATGGCAGACCTGAGTGCCTGTCATGGGACACACACATTGACAGGTCTTAGGCTAAATGTACGAGTAAGATATTGATGATCTCACAAAATAACTATTTCATCCTGCCAAAAATATATGCCTAACTTATCCTCTACTAGAGTGGCTAGAACACAGAATGAAGCCAATTTAATATTTTTAATTGATGAATCAATTAATCAGAGATAAGAATCAATTAATCAGAGATAAAAATCAATAATCAATTTTCAAAGAGGCCAAAGTTAACCATTGCCGTTAGACAATGGACTGCTAGGAAAGATGCTGAAATTAAAAACATTATCTAATTGCAATTTCTTATTTAAAATATAAATATTTTAGGCTTGATATTATATATTAGTATATGTTATATATTAACTGTGCCAATAGTTGTTCCTTGTGAAATATATTGCACATTTAAGGTACAAAATATAAGACATTTGATGGAGGCCACTAACAAAGCCAGGCAGATAAAACCCTTTATCATTCTCTAATAACCTCTTTCTTTTCTTAATATTCTACTTTTATGATTGGTGATTTACTGTAAATGTTGTTGCACACAATTCAGGAAAGTTTCCCCCTGTGCAATTGAGATGCAGCAAAATTGACTACTTTACATTTATTCTTACATAATGTGAAAAATGTCAGCCATAATAAGACTTACTTCACAATTTCTCATGTAATTGAATTTAAATAACTACAAATTTGAAACAATATTTAATGTCTTCTAGTCTTTGTAGTCTTATTCATGTTTTACAAATATTTATTAGTTCATAAAGGATATTATTTTCTTCCTAAAGTTATCTATCAAACACATACTCAATATTTGTATTGGCTGTCAATCTCTTTATATTTATTAAATTATTTGAAAGTACTTAGCTGCTTTTGCACATAAAATTAACTTATTAATTACTGTAACATTTTTTACTTCCATTATCAAGATGCTTTTATCAGCTAGAATTCAAACATATAAACTTAAGAAAATTTTCATTCTAATTTATACCTAAAATGTTTCTCCACATTCAAAAGTGAACATGCAGAAATTAACAATAAATTTCACGCACGTGCATGTTTATGCTACTCACTGTGCTGATTAGCTATGGTGGCCAGCTGTAAGATCACAATTTGTTGATCATGCACAGTTGCAGTTTTATGGATATCAGACAGTGTATTGAAGTAGACATTTGGCAACTGATCCCCCAAACTCTAAAACCAAAGCTAAATACGTAATTTTATTTGATTAGCAAGGCTGAGACCAAACTTCACATCTCAAAAATGCTATTTTTAAAGATTCCTTCTTGGAATACCTACTGTCTATTGTACAAACAGTGAAAGAACAAATGGACTGACTTTCTGGATATCAGCATAACTTCGGGGACTAATTTATTTAGCATTGAGGTAGACCTAACTTCTTCCCTTCATGGAACCTAGTTTTGTGAGAATGGCAGATGGTCATCAAATAATCACAAAAATAAATGATAAATATTGCAGTATGCTCCATGAAAGAGAATACAAGGTACTTTGAGACTAGATTGAGGAAAGTAGTATAAATGAGAAATTAGGAAAACCCTCTTTGAAAACATGGCATTTAAACTGAGAGCTACAGGGCATGTAGGATTTGTGCAGGTGAAACATGGTGGGGAGAGTGTAGCAGACAGGGGAGGGCTTGGATGGATCTCCAGCAGCTGGGAAGGGCCAGTGTTTGACCAGCCAAGGCAGCCAAGGCAGAAGCAGCTGCCGGAAGGGATTTTGGAGGCCAGATATTTTAAGGCCTGACATTTTGCATGTGAACAATTTTTTTTACTTTTATCCAGATAGAATGGGAAGCATTTGCACAGTTACAAAGATTCTCATTTTTTAAAGATTGTTCAGGCTGTTCAGTGAAGAAAAGATTAAAGAGAAGAATTCTATCAATACAGTAGAATATTTTAAATGAACTGTATAAATCTTCACCTATGCTATTAGAATGTTCTTGTCTTTGCAGATTGAAGAATTTACCATTCTCATTTACAAAACTTAAAGAGCTTGCGGCATTGTGGCTTTCTGACAATCAGGTAAAAAACAAAACAAACAAAAACCTTTTCTTGCCTGATTGATTTTGTTTATTTAGATAAACCATAATTGAAACTTTGAATTACTGATGTTTTCCCAAAGATCCCATTGACAACTGCTACAAAATATAGATTTTTATCCCCTGAAGGCAATATTTTTGTAAAGGTACCAGTTTAAGCATTGTTGTAGACAAAAGAGTACTATAGCCAGGGCTTTAGCTCAGTGGCATCATGCCTGCCTCACAAGTACAAGGTCCTGAGTTCGATTTCTGGTACCAAAAAAAAAAAAAAGAGTACTATAATCTCTACCCACTTGAAATACTTACATTTAATGTCCACTTCATCATCCAAGATCATTTTTACAGCTTTTTAGCTCCTGGTGATACACATATATCCTGAGAGGATGTACTTTAATTATATCTCTGAAGGTAAAGAATAAAAACCATTTCCACAATCCCCACCAGGGGGAATTATTATCCTCTATGTTCTTTTTTCTTCTCATGTTTTTAATTATAATCAACTTAATTCTAAAACTTCATTTCAGAAATTTTCTGATACCTTTTGGCAACTATTATCAGTATTTTTCTGTGAAATTGTTTTGATGTTATATTTTATACTCATGGAAATAGATTATAATTGAATCAGCAATTGAGTGCTAATGAATAATTTTACTAACCAGACAATAAGAAACAACTACAGATATCTGATTTGCCACCAAACAAACTGGCAATGGTTAATTTTGACGTAGTTCATTAGTCTTGTCTTTTTCTTCTGTTTCTAAAATCTTAAAATATAAATGATCAAATGAAAACACTCCATCTTGAATTTGGTTTATTGTTTAGTATAACACCATTACTGCTAAATGAATTGTTCATGTTTGTGGTTATTGGGCTACTTTTGTGAAAATTAAGAACAATTTCCACAAAATGTAAATGTGAAAGTAATGTTTGATTTTCTAATGATTACAACACTCCCATCAACTGACTGAAAACTTAGATTGTCATTAAAATCTTATCAGTAGGGCTGGGGATTTAGCTCAGTGGTGCTGCACCTGCCCCGAAAGCACGAGGTCCTGAGTTTGTTCCCAGTACTGGAAAAAAAAAGACACAAAATCTTATCAATAAACTATAAATTTTTCTTAATATCAATATGTCATTTTAAATAAATCATTTCTGGAATTCCTCTGAACTATAGTTAGTGGAATAATCTCTTCCACATTCTTATATTGTTAAAAAAAATTCTCTACTATCATGATTTATTATTCTTGTGAGAGAATGAATAGAACAATGACTGCACCATTTAGCTTTTATTTTTAAGATTGATTTAATGTGTTTCATACTCACTTTCATGAGACAAGCTGGTATTCCAAATCCCATTTTGGCTTCACTCCAATTAATAAGTGTCATGAAATAAGCAGATTTTTAATGCCTTAGATACTATGATCATTTCCAATATATTTCTAGTGTATAATATGGAAATTCTAAAACCACTTCAAAAGTAAGATTTCTGAAATCAAATTAATAGCAGAGAATGAAATAGGACCATAAGTACGTTATGATACATCAGATACTTGTACAATTGCTTGTCAATATGTGGACTGTGTCTTTATTTTTAAAAATGTCTCTTTTATAAATGCTTATGTTTTATTCTAACTAAACTTATAAATGATCTTGCATAGTATGAATTTGATAGCAAATTCCATTTGTCTTTTTAGGGCAACAGTCCATGAAAATGAATAGGCATGTAGAACCATAAGAAAAGCTAACTTAAATTGAAACAATTTAACACATTTTTCTCATCAGGATTAAAACTGGCATTGCTCAGTTGAATAGGTTTGGGTAAGTTTTCTAAATGGGTACAATACAGAAGAAAACCTCACTAAGAAAATCTTAGAATTTGAAAATATTCCTCAACAGTGGTCTTCTTTTATGTTACACTTTCTTATTCAGTTTTTTTCACTCACTTTTTTTTAACTAGTCCATTCTTCTTGGTAAGGCCAGACTATTTATTGACCATTATCCTGTCTAAAATCGATATTCTTTGTGTTTAGAATTGTATTCATCTAATGTATGTGTTCTTTGTTTCCAGTCCAAAGCCCTTATCCCTTTACAAACAGAAGCCCATCCAGAAACAAAGCAGCGAGTACTGACTAACTACATGTTCCCCCAGCAACCTCGCGGTGATGAAGGTAAATAGTAGAAATTTCTTCTGGACTTACAATGACTAAGGATCTTCACTTGCTAGACAGAACCACTGAGCTAAATCCCCAACCCTACACTACCATATTTTAAGTAAGATTCCAGAAACAAACTCTTCCTCTTTATATCTTACACAAAAATAATGTTGACATTTGGAAGCAACTTCTTTGCTTGCTGGATTGCACAACACAGGACTAGTTAACCAAGCTAACCCGGTTAATACCCAGCGAACCAATGAGCTGAGAGCAGTCAGAGCCTGAGGGAGCCAGGTGACCCATGTTCACTTGTTACCTCAGCATAACTGAAACATTCAGTCCAGTGATCTCGGGCCCCAAATTGCTTCATGCTAGGAGTTAACCATAGAGAGATGAGTTACAAATAATGACTGTATTTTCATTTTCATGTTGAATTTCCCTGAACAATTTCAACAGCTATGATAGAAATCCTTTCTGCAAAACCTAAACCTTTCTCGATAATTTCTTCTCTCCTATGATCACATTCTTCATAAAAACTTTTAGAGAGGTTTGTCTTACACTATTTGAAAGTCAACATGGGCTGCTCGGCTCAAGCCAGCTGCAGCTGACAGGCACACTTTCTAGTCATAGAGCCCAATAATTCTGGGAAGAGGAAAACCCCCTTTAATCTAGCTGTGGATTAAATCCACCCAGGTGATTTAAATGAGACCTGTTTGTAAAAGAAACCATTTGGTTGAGCATTTCTTATTTTCAGGGATAATTATAATAAATGGCTTTGACTTCCAAATGTAAGTGAATCATTTGGAGATATTTTATGATATTTTTATTTTAATTTTGACTCACGGAAGTAGAAAAATGATAGGTTGTTTTCCTATATATTTTCCAGGCTTCAATAAAATTGATCTTTTGAATTTATGAAAGAAAAGCGACCAAGTTTACTTATACAAGATATCTTAAGAAAGGAACGTTTTATTCACATAGCTTTACTTATATTTTCATTTTAATATCCCTCAATTATCAGAATATTTCATTTTCAAAGGATGTAGGGAAAAATGGAAAGTGTTTCAGATTCATGGTCGTTTCTGAGAGCCAGTCTCACAAATAACGTCTCTGATTTTTCCAGGCTGTGAGATAAATGTAGTCAGGTACAGCGTCCTGTGAGAGAATTTGCATTTGCTGACTTGGTTTTTGGTTTGCTTGTTTGTTTTTGTTTTTCCTTTGAGGAAAGGAAAATTGCTAATGGAAAATTTTCCCTGAACTCGCAGACCACCTCAACGGTTTGTCAGGCAGGACTACAGTTAATGAATTTTAAGAGTCCCTTACAGTAAACAGAGAAATTCCACAAAGCCTATCTTTTGAGAAAGAATTTAGTCTAAACTAAGTATTTTTATTGCACTTTCATGTGATCTTTGCAATTACATTGCAAAAAAAATATAGCCAACATTCTGATGTCAATTAAAAATTTATAAGCCATTTTCCCTGTTAATTTCAGACACATTTAAACTAATTGAAATCTTAATGTTAAAGACTAAATTTTCCACCTGTTTTCTACCCTAAAAACAAGCTCCCCTCGGTTGCGCACACACACGCATACACACTCACACACACACACACACACACCATGCACACAAACCTTAAAGAACAAACAAAAAAGTTGCGACCGACCGTGGTCACTTTATTGCTTAATCAGCATGACATAGTAGCTTCTATTTTTTAGAAAATATACTGAATGAGAGTTTAATGTTTACAAATATGAGCTCTGCAGTCATGTAGACATGGAATAAACATCCTGCATCAGCCCCAGAAAAGCTGCATGACTTTGAGCCAGTGTTGGAAAACTCAGCTATAGTTTCCTCATTGATAAAATAAAGATGACGTCAGTGCAGTACTGCGGTAGGCTGCAGTGAGGGTAGGAAACAGGACAGAGTGCTTTGTCACCTCTCCCTGTTGGACCTGTTATGCTATGGGAACCCCATTTCCTGCATTAAAAAATCTTCCCAGGCCCTTTGTCTCCCTTACAAAAACCAAATTTGACTCAAGATGTTAAAAGACAAGGTGTCGTAATAAACGGCAAGGGGATTGTACTCCTTCTTCGGTGCTTCTTTCCTTGGTTCTTTCTCATTTCCTCTCTTTCCTTCTTTCTCCTTATTTCTCCTCCACTTGCCCTTTTATTTTGGTATTCATTTGTAGCACCCCTCCCAATTTTCTGCATGGCATATTCAGCTGTATGGGTAACACTCTGTGTTTAAGAAACAGCAGTAACCCTCTGCACTCTGACTGTAGATTTCCAGTCCGACAGCGACAGCTTCAACCCTACCCTGTGGGAGGAGCAGAGACAGCAACGCATGACTGTGGCCTTTGAATTTGAGGAAAAGAAAGAAGAGGACGGAAATGCTGGGAAAGCTAAGGTGAACCTTTTACTTTGTTTCTTTTTCCTTCTCTTTATCCTCTGGTTTGTGCGGAGTCATTATTCAAACAGACTTTGCGGTAAGTTGAGGGAGTGCCCCTGGTAGGTTAGGTCCATCCTCCTCTCCCGGGGGCTCCTTTCTTTGCAGCAGGCTGCTAGCTTAGAAGCACTGGCGTGCCTGGGGAGAGACACACGTCCCAGTCCTGACTCGGAGTTTGGCATGCCCCCCTCAGACGGACCACCACACGAGAGAGATTCAAGCTGAGCGAAAGTGGGAAGAACCGAAGCTGAGCAGCGGACTTGGCTCTCCCAAGCGTGTTGCTTCCTCTTTGGCAGGCCAGAGGTTGGCTTTCAGCCTCGGCGTAGGCATCAGGCAAACTGCAAGAGGCCGAAGCACACGCTTAGGAGAGAGCCAGCTGACTGCCGTGCTGCAGGGGCATTAAATCTCTGGAAGTTTGTCTCTTTGACACCTGAGAACAATCTATGAGCTTCCTCAAATGGGAAGACAAGTTTTAGGGTGACAGTTCTAGTGACAGATGGTGTTCCTTAAGGAAAATAACTTCAATTGTTTTCTTTTTCAACACCCAAACGTATTTTTAAATAGACTTTATTGGGATTAATCTAAGTCACATAGCAAGGTTGAATTTTAGTATCTCTTGTTTTGCAATTACTTAAATTTTCAGCTATCACCAGAATTGATTGAGATTTTATTAACACCTGGTTTTTGTGTTATTGTCATAGCAACATCTTGAATCTCTCATTAATTTTTTATATTATTTGTGTACTTTTTCCATTGTACTAACAGCCCTCACTTAGTGACTAATTACCTAAGTAGTTGTATATGCATCCTATTAACAAATGTAGATTGTGTGATGTGTTCTATGTCCCCTCTTTCTCGTATTTTCTAAATGTTATTTCTAAATCATTATTTCTAGAACCTTACTAGAATTAGTAAGGTAACTGAACATTTACCAACAAAACCTACCTGTATCATTATAGAGAACCCAAAATGGATTCCCAAATCCAAAATGACAATTTTTGTTAAATACTGGGATTTTTAAAAAATGTTTCTGGATGGTTGGTTAATGCCATCTGCAACCAAAGACATTCTTTAAAAAAAAAAAAAAAAACTTGTGAATGGCTAGAAAAAAAATTATACTAAACTAGAAACCAACTAACCAACCAACCAATATTGGAATATTTCAGTTCTTCTTTGAAGGATTTCATTTGTTAAATCTAGAACCAATAGATGATGTATTCTACATTGGAACATTGATTCATTTTTAGATTTCATTGAATTGTCAAAAATTACATACATTTTCTTAAAGAAAATCTACATACAAATTGTCCAAAAAACAATGCATTCAATATGCTCTGGTATATGTGTCAATGAAAACAGAATGTAGGAAATGCAGTTATTTAGAAGCCTTGTTTGTGTGTTATGTGAGTAAGTTTGTTTATAACCAGAGTAGGTTCATTATACTTTAGAGTATTCTTTCTTGATGTTTATTTGCATTTGATTTATTCCTATTTTGGTAAAACAATATGTTTTTCCAAAATCTCAAACTACTTGGCTTTGACTAATTTGAATATTTCCAATGCCATTGGCTATTGGACAAATTAGAGCACAAACAAACTTCTAAATAAATCATCATGGAAATATGATGAATGGAATATATTGAAGTCTTACACTCAGTTAATCTTCTCTGGTTCATTACATGTACTTTAAATTGAGCCCCAGTTAACCTTAAAGTCATCTGAGATCCGGAAGGGAACCATTGGTCTGTGCCGTCCACTTTCAAATGGACTAGAGTATAATGCCCTACTTGTAGTGTGATAGAATGAATGCTGTATGGTGTGAAGAAGCCGTGACCCTTCAGCTTCCTGTGATGTTGGTGCTGATTTGTTACATGGATTTAAAGCTAATTTTAATGGTAGTTGTAAATGCATTACCCAGAGTGAAAAAGAAAAATCAAGAGTAGAAAAGTAATAAAGTAAAAGTATTGCTATAGCGCTCCTCTTTCTCCCAGAAAATGGAGATTCCTTCTCCCACAGGATCTCTCCTGCCAAGCCCCCTGGGAGAGGGGCCAGCGTGGGATTACTCTCCAACCTGCCAGGCTGTCTGGCGATTGCTGCACACCATGGGCCAGGTGTGATCAGCAGATCCAAGATATGCCCGTCCCCCAGAATGACCCCCAGCTGGCGTGGGGTTGTATGAGTGGCCTCCAGCAGGAAAGGAGCATGTGTACTCAGTTACCAGTGGCAGTGCAGTCCACCACGCCTCCCTCTCTGAGTGGCAGACAGGTAGGCCTAGGTGTTGGGACAGGAGAACCCCCTGTAGAGCCAACCTTGGGACAGTGGTTGATGGGGTATATTCTGCATGACTGGGGGAAGCAGTGCTGATCACATAGCAACCTTCACGTTGCCAATGTTGGATCCTAATGTAACTTTTTGCTCATTGACACTGGCAGTAGGGTGGGAAGGACTGAGACCGAGGGGAGGGACCTCGATGCGAGGTGCCTATTGGTGTAATATCTGGCACGGTATTTCAGTGGGGTGCTGCATTCTTATTTACATTTCTTTTATCTTTAAATATTATCTTCTTTAAAGTGTGGGAATACCAATAGTTGGCAGAATGTTGATGACACCACTGGTACAATCTAAATTGTCTTCCCCCTACACACCAACATTCTTTACGTTATCACTTCTGTGGGAGATTAAGAAGCTAAAATTGATTCCTAAAATAGCATGGATCTAAATTGAGATTTGCTGAGAGTGGGCTTTGAACACAAAGACAGACATCTGTAAACCATCAATGTCCTTTAATTTGAAGATAAAGATGATACAAATTCCTATAAGAGAAGACTGGCTTGGGAGTTGTAGCAAACAGGGTTTCCTTATCTCAGTGGGCTGGGTGTTTCAGAGGTTAATGGGCAGAAAAATATGTCTTATGGAATATGGACGAACACTGAATTTTTGGTAAACTTTACCATCCACATGTAATGGACTAGATTCTTATTCTGTGTCTTATATTCTTCCTACAATATAAGACAAGCTGAGCCTGTATCTTCCTAACTACCACTGCTCTGAGTTTTCTTTCTCTGCAAAACATTCCAATTAATTCCAAGAATAAAGTAATATTTAATTATCAGTGATCAAAAAAACACTAGTATTTCTCTTACTGGAATTTACAATCAAATCAAATTAGAATTTAATCATTATATGGAGTATATTATATTATGTGGATATAATATAATATATGAGAAACTTGTGAATTCAAGATATAATTTCCAAATGCCCAAGCTACTACTATGAAGTAATTCTTCTTCAATACTAAACATTTGGGAGTCTCCAACATCATGCAGCTGCTATTTGCATTTACTGCACTTTATTTAGATTTGAGATGTGTAGAATGTTGTGAAACATTTGTTTTCCAAAATTAAAATATTTTAGTAAAATCTTGCATTTGAATAAAATGTTGATGTGACATGAGCAAATACTTTATAGTGAGTGATAAAATGCAAAACTTTTATAAGAATATAATTGAGAAACTTTATCACCTAAGAATATAAAAATGAATTTCTATCTTTTCATGCTACATTAGAATAGGAATATTTCTAACCTTACTTATAGTTAGGAATATAAAGAAACTGCTTTTATATTTGAGAATTACTAAGCTATTAACGTAACTGTTTATTCCTTTCTTAAGTTATGCATTCATGAGTTGAAAAGTGGAAAAACAATGCAGTCTGTGAAGGGGCATAAATATGTTTGTGCAGAGCTTAAAACAGAACAGACAGAGTTTAATCTTGAACTTATAAAAAAAATTTTAAAGAACTTATAAAATAGTTACTTAGCTGTATTTTAACTGAACTTATCTTGTTATTTAACTTAATAAAATCCACATTGTAGATGTACAGTATTTCTTTTACAAAATTACACTAACATGTTCTGCACCTACAAATCACACTGGTACACCAAAAACCATGAGGTCAGAAAGACCCAGTTTGGATCTGACCTTAGATGGGTACTTGTATTGTGTAAGCACCAATTTTCCTTCTGTAAAGTGGAAATAGCTCCAGTAATCATTTATGAAGTTTAAATAAGGTGTAATTATAAATTAAGGATTATCCTATAATAATTAATAGTCCTTTATTATTTAGTACGTAAATAGTAATTATATTTAAACCTATAGGATCAATGCTAAATAGTGCTGTATATTATATAAATAATTAATAATAAATTAAATATCTGTATAAAACATTTAGCTTGGTGCCTGGCACATGACAGGTACTGAATAAATGATAACTTGCTGCATCCAATACAAAAAAAATATTTAGCTAGGTACAGCATCATTGTTAGATATCTAAGATAGGGTCTAGATTACCAAAGAAGTCCAGATTTTTTTAATATCTAAGTAAAATCTATATTAGAAATATTGTCTAATCTCTACATAGGACTTGCAGATTTTCAAAGGACCTTCACATCCACCTCATTTAGCTCTAAATTAACCCAAGCATGTGAGAAGGGTATTGATATCCTCACTTTACACGAGTAGACCGACTCCAAGACTGGCAGCCAGCAGTGAGCTGCGGGCAACTCTGTGGCTCACAGTCACACGTCCTGAGTCCAGGTTCAGGAGCTCTGCAAGGAGAACAGTAAATCAGAAGCAAGGAGCTCATTTTCTAGGTAAAATGAATTGAAGCTCTATGAGACCTGGAGCCTCTGCAATTTGGGGCAAGTCCTCTCTATGGAAAAAGATAGGTTTCAAATGACCCCATGAATACATAAATGGAGCCACTCACACAGTTTTGGAAGAGACACGTAAAGGTGATAGGTCCTAACACAGGTAAATCTGTTTCTAGATGTAAATATTTTTATGGGAAGAAAATGCCCAAACATATTCTGATGATATGGCCAAAATATCACATTAACTTGCTTATGAAATAACCAGGAAACATGAGTATCATTAGCCAACAGCCATCTAATTGTGTCAGATAGTATCTATAAAAAGTGGATTACATTATTCAGTGAAGTATTTAATTCAATTAAGAAATCACTTCTATTAGCTTCAATTCAATTTCTAAGTGTAATTTTAGTGTTGAAGATTTTTTTAGTCGTGTAGACTTTTAATTGAATGCCTTACTTTATTTCATATACCATTTTTATTAAAAATAAAAAGGTCCAGGGATTTAGCTCAGTGGTGTCAACGCCTGCCTCGCAAGCACGAGGACCGGAGTTTGATCCCCGGTACCAAAAAAATAAAAAAATAAAAATAAGAAGATATTCCATATTGGCATGATAGTCATACCATCCTGCAATTTACTTTTTTTTTAAAAAATGTAGTTTCTTGACTTTTAGCCCTTTGATATCAAGTATTTTTATTTTTTTATTTTTTTTCAAGTATTTTTAAACAAGTTCAACATTATAATTTAAAAATTAGATTTAGCTCATAATTAATATTTCTGATTTCAATTTAAACAGCAGATCTGTGGGTGCAGTGCATTCCAATGTCCTTTGTCCAGCATGGATATCATTATTTTATGTTTAAGGATGCTTTAAAAATTAAGTACCCTGGGATGTGTTAATATTACAATCAAAAAACTTATACTTCTTGTTCTATAAAGTCTATCCTTGTCTTGGGTTATTATAGCTTTATTTCTGTCTAGTTTTAGTTTTGTTCTGAGCTATTTGAGAGTATAAAAAAGATTTAAATACATTTCATAATACTTACCTTAGCAATATTAATTGGTTTTTTAGTGCCTTTCCAAATATGTATTGGACAAGGAATTATATATCTTTAATATAGAAAGGAGTGTTAGAAATCATCTAGTGAAGTCCAGTCCTACTATTTGATTAGAAAAAGAGCCACAAAGAAGACAAAATACTAAGAAGAACACAGTTGGTGGATTTGTTAGGACTGCAGATGAGCAAGAGCGCTTGAGCTTGTGTTCACAGCACTCAGACCTGTCCCACCGTCCGTCCCCTCCATCCCAGGAGATACGCAGCGTGTGGGGCGGGCGTTGTGTGCCTTCCCTCCTTCCGATTTCCTTTCTCTTTCCCATTCTCTCTTCCTCCTTAGCCTGTCTCCCACACTCTCTCCTCCTCCCCACCCTGACACACACACCTTCCACAGACACATACTCACCACGGTCACTTACATCATCCCATTTTGTCAAGTTGATTCTACTCAGATTCAAAAAGTTATGATTACTGGAATGAGCCAGGCAAAGTAAATCTACCTCTTATCCTTCTCCAGTCCCCTTTGAGGGATTTTATTCTATTTTAAATACACAATAATAAGTGTTCTGATGGTAGGATACTCTGTATGGAGTCTATTAAAAGTAGTCATTAATATGTGCTCCAGAAATTAGATTGATACTCCCAACATAAAATTCAAAAATGAAAATAAATACCTAGCTAACTATAAACTAAAACGCACACATTTGCCTAAAATCTATTAGATAATAGTCTCAATTTTCATTCCTCTTTATTGGAAGATGTTTTTCAAGAAGACATTACTTTATTAGGATAAAAAATAAATATAAAATCCACCCCAAAGGATTTTTTCTTAGGTAATATCAAGAATTAGCTATCTTGCCTTTTGATGTAGCCTGCTAATTATATATTTGGGCAGAAGTTATTATAAACTCCCCACTTTTTCATTACACAGCTCTACTTATAAATCTTTGGGGGTCTCTTCCCACTACCTGCATTGGTGTTCCAGTGATATTCTTAATATCAAAATTATTACTTACAAATAATTACGGTAGGGAGTGAAGGGTCTCAGTTGCACATAGTGACTTAATTACACTTTTCCAGAGATTACCAACCACTTAAATGTTTGACCTACTACTATTTCAGATATATAAAGGGTAAATCTAAAGATAGGGTACAATCCAAAAAATGTTTATCAGCTGGAAGGGTAGGAGGGGTGGGGAGAAGTCCCAGGAGGCCGATGCGAGAAGAACACTGTGTGTTCTAATTCTGTCGCGGTCTCTGCCAGCTCAACACTCGCTGTATTGCATTTGGTTATTCTGCTGCACATAGAATGGCATAGCTTTGTGAATGGCATGCTTGCTGAAGTTCTTTTTATGTTAAATTTCTTTTTATAAACTTCTAGGTTGAAATAAACCTAAAACGATATCCAACTCCTTACCCAGAGGATTTAAAGAATATGGTAAAATCTGTTCAAAATCTAGTGGGTAAGCCAAGCCATGGAGTGCGTGTTGAGAATTCAAATCCAACTGCTAACACGGAACAGACTGTGAAAGAAAAATTTGAACACAAGTGGCCGGTGGCCCCAAAGGAGATTACAGTGGAGGTATTTGAAGGTTATTGCTAATTGCCAGTGTGGTGTGGATTTTTGGGAATTCTAAAGGATATGTTTTTTTTTAACTGAATAGATCTTTCAGGATAAGTGCATTTTTCCCTAAAATATAAATGATCTCTCTCCTTTTTCAAACTATGAGGGTTGCATTTATAAATCACAAATAAATGATACCCTCATAGCCTGAAATCACAACACAGCTCCCAAATTTCCGATACACACAGAATGAGTAGTTTCTCAGCTAAGTAGGCCCATCCTGTGAATGCATTATGTTAGGGATACTAGTTTGGATACCTCAACCTCAGACTTTTATTGCATCCATAGGAAAAATTAACTAAAGATTTTTCATTCTTAAAATCTCTGTAAAAGTCTTAATCAGGTTTAGAGCAAATTTTTTTCAGTGTTTTCATGTTTGGGTCACAGCTTTTATAGAAAGTGTTACTACTAACGACAAAAAGAGGAGATGAACTTAGGTTTATGGAATTTAGTCATGTGAAGCTTATTCCTCTGTTTTTGTATGAGTTAGAAAGCCGTCCTTATTGATTTGTGCAGTCTGAAAAGAATTCAACTACATTTATGCCACCTCTACTCTCTCATCAACTCTTCTGCTAATTTAGCTGTCATCTTTCTTATCTTCATTAGAAATATAATTGGTGTGAATGTCTAGAAATGCATATTACCTCTCCAAAACTCTGGATTGATAAAACTCTTTTACAGATCTGCATTTCAAACCATTTGTTGCATTTATGAAACAACAACTGTAAATGCAGCACTGTGCTAAATGCTGTGGGAGAAGAAATATAAAATGTGTCCAGAGTCCCCAAATAATCTAAAGCATAGTCAGATAATCTTAATGCCTACAAAGTGATCAGAGAACATATTTTATAGTTTGATCACATGATAAGTTGTGTGATAGAGACTATAACACGCTGAGTTAAGCCTGAAATGCACATGAAAGATTGGGCAATTCTTTTACAGTGAAAAACAAGGGAAACATACCAGGTAAAAGGAAGATTTTGAGCAAAAATAAGCATAGTATGCCCAATCTATCAGCAGAGATATCTGTCCCAGAAGAGGGCAATGCAGCTGGATATCAAAGGAAGAAAATTTAAATATTTATTCTCATGGCTTTTTGCTTATGAAATGATTATCATTGTGTTTTCTCTTTTCTGAAATGGACTGTTGTTTTATCTCTAACATATTACAAACATACAAAGGACAGAAACTAATATTTAAGAGAAACTAATATTTATTAATGTACACTAAATAGATATGTGCTTTATTTTTAAATCTCATATAATCACAGTTTGGAATCAAAGTAACTATGCAGTCATGCAAACCTTTAAGCTATGTAAAAGTTAGTACAAAAATAAGATGATCCTAGAATTGCTTAATTGGGGACTAAGCTAAGACAGGAAAAAGATGGCTTTGGTCATGAATTTAATAATAACCCTGCAGTAGAGCTAATAAATCTTAAATTTGTCCCATGACCACTTTAAGCTTAACAGATCCAAAATTCAATTACATGTTTCTTTCCCAAACTTTTTTCTGCTCCTATATTCTTGGTCTGTATTCTTGATCTCAGCTGGTAACTTTCTCTACCAGTTCTTTCAACCTACAAATTTGAGAGACATCTTGATTTCTATTTCCTTCTTTCTCGCCACTCTTGTCCCTTCCAAATAATTACCAAAGCCTTAGATTTTCACTTGAGGGAATCTCAGATCCTCCACTCTGTCCTTCTTCACTGTAAAAACCTCAGTTTCTTGGCTTACCTTGTCCCTAACCTCCTCACTGCCTCTGCTGTGATCTTTCTAAAAACAGCACAAATCTAATCATCCCCTTGCCCTCTTTAAAAGCACTGGAGTGTTTTTCTTTCACCTACAGAAAATCTAAGTTTCCTAATTGGCTAGAATAGCCTTGTTAAATGAGGGTACAACAAAAGCTCACCTTTCAGCTTTATATTTAATTTTATGGTTTGCCCCACCCCTTTCTTAGTTTTCTACTACTGCTTTTCCCCTTGAAGATAAACTTGACTGGAAATTTCAGTGTTTTCTCCAAAAGCAAGATTCTAAATCTTCTTTCCTAACTTTTAGCCATGCTAACACAAGGAGAAGCTATTGCTGCTTCGTGTATTGTCCTCTGGCCTCAAATTCAAGGCAGCCAAATTAAGGGTCACACTTCATTTTTTCAATGTTTTTATTTAATAAATATCAACAAATCAAGCATCATCACACGTATCATGGAGATTAATCATGTATTCTGTGTTTTGCACGCATATACCATTTAGAGTCATCATTACTTAGTTCCTACTGCCAAGAATGTGGAAAAGGGTATTTTATTATACAGTGCTTCATATATTTAAAAAATAGAGCTTGGCAGGACCAGAAGCAAAAACAGAAAGAAAAGCTAAAGTTAAACAGATTACGTACGAATGCAGCCAAAGCAGGGGGAAAAGGAAAGATAAAGCAGCATTTATCGCTCTCTTTTTATTTGCTGTATCTGTTCCAAGAATTTTAACATATGTTATGCTAACTGGAGAATAGACTCAAGGGGCCATGAGAACAAAAACAGGTTTCTAAGAAGATTTCCCTTTCCTCCTGTTTTCCTTTATGATGCCTTCTGGAGGCTGTATGGTATTTGGATTTTCCAAATGCTCCCCATATGGCTAGCACTTCCTCAACCTTCAAGTTTCAACTGAAAGTCACCACAACAGGATGCCTTTCCTGACCACCCTGACCTGTCACCTCACCCATATATTTATATTAAACAGAAGAAAATCATTTATAGTTACTTTGCCTATTGACTGTGAGTTTCACGAGGGTGGGGACTGTTTTGAACTTGTCTGTCATTGTACAGATAGTCCCTGACTTACGACAGTTGAATTGAGGATTATTCAGCAATATGCATTGTAGAACCAAACTTCCGATTTTGAATTTTCTCCTTTTCCCAGACTGGCAATAAGTGGTGTACTATTGTCTCATGAAACTGGCAGCAGCAGCAAGACACAACTTTCAGCCACAGGATCACAAGGGTAAACAACTGACAGTCCATGAGGCTGTGTTGCTAGGTTATGACGTTTGCTACCAGTAGGTTAGATATATTAGATGCATCGAGTCTTAGTGCTATTGTCAACTTAGGATGAGTTAATTGTGATGTAAGCCAACTGTAAATTGAGGAACATCTCTGTACCCAGGGTTCGTGCTATAGACTAGGAGTATAATATTGTTGACGGAGTTAATGATCAATATAGTCTAGTAGTGTACATGGGTTAACGTGTCTGTCTCTACATCCAGTTAGAAGTTTGTTGAAGTCAAAGACAGTTTCTGACAATTTCTTGATCATTGCCTGCTTTACTTATCCATAGTTTACACCTGTGCCATGAATACACTCTCAGCACATGAATGCCTTGGTGTCATCTATTAGAGACCCAAGACCAAAATAAATATTTAACAGTTCCAATTAAATAGACATAAGTTAATAAAGATGTATATTCTACGAAGTAGTCATTTGGAACATAATACACAGTACACACAAATTGGGGGAGAAAATATTTTTATTCTTTCCTTAAAATAAACAAAACCAAAATATTACTCAATACATGAACATGTTAGCAACTACCTTCTCAAACCTGAAATCATAGTGGGTACCAGAGGCCTAATTTCCATTTCATACTGATTTGCACTGATTACCACTCCAGATGGTCATCAGATGGTCATCAGATAGTCACAAGGATGGTCATCAGAAACGACGTGTGAGCTGTGTTGAAACTGAGCATTGCACAGTGTCTCACTGATGTAAAGTACTGCTTTGTTCCCATTGGATATTTACTGCATCCCATAGTGTCCCTGTGAATTATCAGTGGCACCCATGGGCACCTCAGAACACAGTTTAAGAACAAATGGAAGGGCATTTTTTAAGCCTAGCAGACATGAATTGAAATCTTGGGTCTCCCTTGTTGCCAGTAATGTGACCTTCACAAGTCGTGTCATTAAAACCTTTCTGAGCCTTGGTTTCTTGATCTTTAAAAATAAAGATACTACTAACACACTTTCAGGATTTTGTGGAGATTAAATCAGATGATCATGGAAGAAGGCTAGGGTTGTGAAAATTCCTGATCATTCCTCAAGAGATCGGTGTGCTGCTTCTTGGCCCATCCCCGTTTAATCCTCCGTGGGTCACCACCTGCACACGTGTCCACCTTGTCTCCTATACCCAAAGTCGTTCTGAACCTTCCCCTCCTAGGACACTTAGCCCATTTCCCTCTGTGGAGGAACTGTATCTTTCTCCCAGTAATACAAAACAGTCAACTACCCTTGAAAATTTTCTTAAATTCCCTTTATTAATATGAGACTTACACTCTCAAAAATTCAGAAAAAGCTTCTTTATTTCCCTTTAACTTCTGTCATAGGCTCCCTGTCTATGACAGTAGTGGCCAAGATTTAATTTCAACAGTAGAAAGACATGAGATAAAAAGAAATCTTCCCACTTTCCACCCTTTTATCTCACCACAAGGAAATATAGTTCCGTGTGTGCATTATGGGACTCCTACTAAATCTGACTGTCTCCTAGTAGCTTGCGCCCTTTCCACCCACTGAAATAGTCCCAAGTTGTCAACCTGCCTTTCCAACAAAACTAGATTCCTCTGCCCTCTATAAGATGATTTCTAGGACAAAGCCCATGATTAATTTCTTTCACAGGACAGTTAACTTTGTTCAGGGAAGCCCATTTAGGAGATGAACATTTCTTGGGATAGGTAATACAGTGGACAAGTAATTTATAGAACAGCATCAAGTTAGACAGATCCGAGTTCAAATTCTGGCTCTATCAACTAAGTTTATGACTTGTAACAACTCTGTGCTGCCATTTCCTTAGAACAAAGATAATGATAATTAAAATATTTTTTGTGTGTGTTCAACATGGATTTTTTTATTAATTATATTGGTACATTTAAGGTATACAATATAATGACATTCATCATTGGAAATTGGCACCTTTACATAATCCATCTTGGTTATTTTTTCCCCCTTCCCCTGCCCTCCCTTCAATCCCTCCACCCCTCCCTATCAACAAAGACTTTGTTTTAATTTTTTCATTTTCTCATATTAATTCCATTCCCTTCTTTCTCTGCCCCTACCCCTCGCACTTCCCCTCCCCTTTGCCCCTTTTCTTCCTGTTTCACATTATCTATTGTACCTCTTAGTCCTTATTTACACTTTCAGTTTCTCACACTAGAGAAACTATTCAGTATTTATACATGAGTATCCTATTTATTTCACTTAAAAGTATCACCTCAATTGCATCCATTTAGCTATAAATGTCTCTAGTTTCTTGTTCTTTATGGCTGAGTAGTACTCCATTTTATTAAAAAAAAAAAAAAACACAGACACACATTTTCTTTATCCAGTCTCCAGGTGGTGGGCAATTGGGTTGCTTCCAAGTTAAATAACACATAGTGAAAAGGTTATCTTTTAAATAATTCAGAGAGATAGCACTGGTGGTGTTTAGCCCAGGAGAGCAGCTCCAGACATGTGGTCTATGCTTCGTATCAGAGATCCACTACCACCACCACCACTGCGACTTTGCTCATAAAGATGAGAGAAGCCTTCACCTGGATCCTTGCAAATGTAGCATTCTTTCTGGGAAGCATCATGCTTCTACGTGGAGAATCACAGGATCTGGAGAAAAGACGCCAGTTCAGGATTACTTGATAGCCATTTTCTTTTCCTGGTCACCAGGACTCTTTTTGATTCACAACAGAAGTTCTTGAGCAAAGTCAGAAACTTACATCTGAGTTAGACCACAGCTACCGCCAGAGCTCTGGTCACAGCTGTAGGTAAAAGTTCCATCAGCACAAACTAGATCACTTGAGAACCACAGGTAGGACATAAGGAGAAAAGACTGAAATGATTAGTGATGTTGTGATTTTGTGTTCATACAACTGTTTTATTTCATTGTATCTCTAGTTTGGGGCAGGGTTTTTTTTTCCTTTATTAGAATAAAATTCCTGTACTTGTATTAAATGCCATAAAATTTCTTTATTATTTCATCCAAATCATTTACCTTTAGTTTCATAAAATATTAGTACCAGACATAAATTAGCACTGATTTCTGTTTTCTCTCACCTTGATTTTACTGGTGAATTGAATAAGATCTATAGAAGTACACTAACTTGCCCAAGAAAACCAGACTAGTAAGTCATAAAGCAGGAATAGGAAATAATGAGACACCTTGTAATTGAAATGTTTTGACAAATCAGCATAGTTTGTGCCTTTCACAGTGCTGCTTCTTAAACTTGCATCTCCTTATAAATTTCTCCAAGGATGTACAAAGGCTTTTCTTCTGTATTGTGTCACTTTAAAACTTTTTCACAAGTTTCTTATGCTCAACTTTGAACTTATTTTCAGAATGCATGAAAATACAAATTTCTCTTTTGAGCCCCAGAATTTTCATCAATCCCACACTGTTTCCTATCCCTCTTCAAATCTGATTCTTCATTTGCTGCTCCCTTACCTGAAAGGGGAAGATCGCTGGGCTAGAAGCTGGAGAATTGTGTCCCAGTACTGTGCAGTTTGTATTTGTCTGTGTGAGCCCGCACCTAAGCTGGATCTCAGAATCTTCCTCTAGACAAGGACAGGGTTAGCCTAATGCTCTTGCACTCTTCTTCTATTACAAAAATTAACAAGTATTAGATATACTAATATCTAATAGTTTTTCACAGGCAAATATTTCTATACAAACATGAAAGAGGAAGGAAGGAAGGAAGGAGGGAGGGAGGGAGGGAAGGAAGGAAGGAAGGAAGGAAGGAAGAAGGGAAGGGGGGGGAGAGAGAGAGGAAGAGAGGAAGAGAGGGAGGAAGAGGAAGGGGAAGGGAAGGGAAGGGAAGGGAAAAACAGAAGTATGTCTCTGCAATACCCAAAGACCTGAGCCTGTCACTACAGGGGTGCTTGGCAACATATAAAATTTATAATAGTTTCTGTCTGTTGATTACACCAACCAATCAAGTATTCAGTGGGTCTTTTTGAATTTCTGGTATTTGTCCTCCAGTATTTTCCTTCTATGACTTAACAAAATATTTCTGAATGTGTTAGTTTAATGTTCCAAACTAATAAGACGCTAACAAATGAAACAGCTGAAAAATTTTTGAACTTAAATTGATACAAAATTTAAGAAAAAGAGATCAAAAAGATAGCTACCATGTATAAATGTCTATCACTACTTATAGGCATGCACGAGACATTTTTATATCTAGAAGAAAAGTGACACTTGCTATTTTGCTTCTCTAATGCTGTCCCACTTCCCGGTTAACTGGAATCAGGATTTGAATTATAGACATTTCAAATCTGTGAGTGTTTTATATATTCTTTTGTCATGATAAAGCAATATTCTTATACCATTGTGGGTCATTACACTCGAGGAATGGATACTAGGATGAATATTTGACAGTCTAAATTGCTCATGAGAAAACTGGAAACTTCAGGGAGATAATCGTGGTAGAACTACAGCAGTGGACAACAGTAAGAATTAAGAGGGACACCAACAGAGCAGGGTTTACAGGACCTCCCAGAGCATTAGTGTGGCAAGGGGTGAAAACATCCATGATACACTTTCCCCCTGGACTCTCAGACAGCTGGCCCTGTAGAAAAACTCTTGTACGTACAAGTGCCATGCGCATGTACGAACTGTACTATTCATGAAGGGCCCGTCCCAGTGCAGTCCTGTGTAAGTGAGTTCTGTCTCATCTCCCCAGCTGGATTGTGAAAGCTCAGAGGGCTACATTTTGTCTTTCTTTGGAAACACCACGGCTCTTTGCACAGTGCCAGGCTTATATAAACAGCATTGGAAAATATGTCTGATGAATAAATGGACTCACTTCAATTAGAAAAAGAAGCCAGAGCTCAACTCAGAGATACATATGGTTCATTTCTCCCCGTGCCCCACTTTGAATTAAATCCTAGAGCCACATCTTTGAATCTGAGCCAGATAAAGATATTGCCATCTTGGTTAACCGTTGTTTAAATGTTTACTTTCCTTGTCCTGTATTATTATATCTCTCAGGATTCTTTTGTTCATCCAGCTAATGAAATGAGGATTGGGGAACTTCACCCTTCATTAGCTGAGACCCCTCTGTACCCACCCAAACTTGTTCTGCTAGGGAAGGAGAAAAAAGGTAACATTGTGATGCTGACGTGCAAAATCCACTGCCAATGCATGTGCATGACGAACCGCCAGTTGTAAATGATGATGTGCCATAGTCTGTAAAAATATTTTACAAATACGCATCTCTAACATGAATCAGTGTGGAATCTGTTTTCATACTTACTTTTCTGTGTTTATAACTGTCATTGGCCCTAGCATTGTAACATGTCTCCCCTTTAAATTTCAGAATCAACTGATGAGTCTGAAGCTGACAAAACTCACTGTCTGAATAACAGTGTTTCCTCAGGCACCTACTCAGACTACTCACCCTCCCAGGCTTCCTCGGGATCCTCTAACACCCGGGTTAAAGTGGGGTCCTTGCAGACAGCAGCTAAAGATGCAGTGCATAATTCTTTGTGGGGTAACAGGTGTGTTTAGAATTCCCACTGTTCTGTTTCCAAATGCTTATTTTCAGCCACTTTTGTTTTAAATGGGATCCTTTAAATATTGGAATTCTATTCAGCCTGAGAGGCACAGAAGACAGAAGGGGCAGGTAAGCGAAGGTGGTGCGCCTGGGCTTTCCGAGAGCAAATGACGCAGCTTACTGGGGAGGCCATTGGGTCGGGGACAGGGCAGATCGACAGGTGACATGACGCTCAGGACCGAAAAGCTTAGCAGTCAGAGGTTGTGTTTGACCAGCACAAGTTTATGAGGCACATGGACATTTTACAATCCAGAATGGTGTCATAAATTAAAATGAGCTGCATTTAAACCACCTATGTGCCTGGCAAGAAGTAAATATGCAAACAATTTTCATGACCATTGTCATCATCATTTTATCACTTCCTGGAGTTAGGATCTATGCCAAGGTCCTTCATCTTCCAAAATGCCTCCTTCTTTGTGGTATCCCCATTTTATAGATGAAAATACAAATGCCACATAGCATAGTGCAATGACTCAGTAGGGCAGTCTTTGCCCTCTTCTAATTTGTTTTGTAATTTGTTGCAACATTTTACACCATAAATAGCAAATAAAAATTGTCCTGTGAAGTAGATAGTCAAAAACTTTTGCTCATACATTAACTGACAGTATTGTCACTCATGGCAATGTTTGCTTTAGTACTTCATGACTAATTATTTCTATTCATCAGTGCCCATGATAAAAACCTTAAAGTTTGTAAAATCGTAATTGTTATATGAGCTGAGATTGAGGTAGGTATTTTTGGAAGATGCCTTCTAAATACATTTTTTTCCAATTAGCAGAAGTATATCAAAGCCTTCGTCTCACTAATGACAGATGTATCATTCCTTATTATTGATGTGCAAGTGGTTTAGAATAAACTGGAAAAATGAGCGTATGCTAGAAATACACTAGAGATGGCCACTGGTGTAAACAGGCCCATAACCTGAAGCCATAATATGACTTACATTCTAGAGAAAGGCCTCAGAGTTGCTCGCCATTCAATGGTATTGAGTGTCTTCAAGACCTAGCCTTATTAAAGACAATTTGGATTCTCTAGATATACCTTGACTTGTTAAGAAAGCACTTTCAGTCCTTAGTTTAGAAAACTATGGAGTCAAAACCTCCAGGGGTGAGTACTAGGAATCTGATGATTCTGATTATCAGTCAGGCTTCAGGACCCTCACTGAAGACATACACATTTCATTCATTCCTTCCTTCCACAAATATGAGTTTATACCTACCGTGTGCTTGACTGTTCTGAGCCTGGACAGAAAATGCTTTCTGCCCTCAAGAGTTTACATTTTAGCAGAGGACACAAGATGGTCGCTATAATAAACTGTCATAGGTAAGTAAATTGTAGACTATGCTAGGAGAGGGCGTTACTAGGAAGAAAGAAAAGTTGGAGCAGGATTTATGTTAGTAGGGGACATGAAATGATGGTATAATATTATCTTAATCATAATTCAGGTGAGGATGAGTGATCAGCTCTCCACAAGATGGTGCCCTGCTTTGCAGTTTGTTCACTTTCTGGCTCTGGACCTACTCGCCTTCATGTCCTGCTTCTTTCCGCCCTTGTGTTCACAGGATAGCACCATCTTTCCCACAGCCTCTGGACGCGAAACCATTACTCAGCCAGCGGGAGGCTGTTCCCACCGGGAATCTGCCACAGCGACCTGACCGGCTCCCCATGAGCGATGCTTTCCCTGACAGCTGGACGGATGGCTCCCACTACGACAACACAGGGTTTGTTGCTGAGGAGCCCACTGCCGAGAATGCCAACAGTAACCCACTCCTGAGCTCAAAGGCGAGAAACGCAGCTCCTCACGGACGCAGGCCTCTGATCCGGCAGGAGAGGATCGTTGGTGTCCCCCTGGAACTAGAGCAGGCCACCCACAGACACACGCCAGAAACAGAAGTGCCTCCTTCCAATCCCTGGCAGAATTGGACCAGAACCCCTAGTCCGTTTGAAGACAGGACCGCTTTTCCCTCCAAATTAGAGACGACCCCCACGACCAGCCCCTTGCCCGAAAGGAAGGAACATATAAAAGAATCTGCGGAAATACCTAGCCCTTTTTCTCCAGGAGTGCCATGGGAGTATCACGACTCCAGTTCCAACAGGAGTCTTGCTAATGTCTTTTCTCAGATCCACTGCCGCCCGGATTCCTCTAAAGGTGTTATTTCCATTAGCAAAAGCACAGAGAGGCTTTCCCCACTTATGAAAGATATCAAGTCCAATAAATTCAAAAAGTCACAGAGCATCGATGAGATTGACATTGGTACCTACAAGGTTTATAACATACCGTTAGAAAACTACGCCTCGGGGAGCGACCACTTAGGAAGCCACGAACGGCCGGACAAGATGCTGGGCCCAGAGCACGGCATGTCCAGCATGTCTCGAAGCCAGTCCGTGCCCATGCTGGACGACGAGATGCTCACTTATGGAAGCAGCAAAGGGGCCCAGCAGCAGAAAGCTTCGATGACCAAGAAAGTCTACCAGTTCGACCAAAGCTTCAACCCCCAAGGAGCTGTGGAGGTGAAAGCTGACAAGAGGATCCCGGGTCCTTTCCAGCACAATTCTGAGTACGTGCCACAGCCCAGCAAAAACCTGGCCAAGGATCTGGTCAGCCCCAGGGCTTACCGGGGCTACCCGCCCATGGAGCAGATGTTTTCCTTCTCCCAGCCGTCTGTCAACGAGGATGCCTTGGTGAATGCCCAGTTCGCCAGCCAGGGCAGCAGGGCAGGCTTCCTGAGGAGGGCCGACTCCCTGGCCAGCTCCACGGAGATGGCCATGTTCCGCAGGGTCAGTGAGCCCCACGAGCTGCCCCCCAGCGATAGGTACGGCAGGCCCGCGTACAGGGGAGGGCTGGATCGCCAGAGCAGCGTGTCAGTGACTGAGGCCCAGTTCCTCAAGAGGAATGGCAGGTATGAAGACGAGCACCCTTCATATCAAGAAGTGAAAGCTCAGGCGGGAAGTTTTCCCGTTAAAAACCTTACCCAGAGGAGGCCATTATCTGCGAGAAGCTACAGTACAGAGAGTTACGGGGCCTCCCAAACCAGGCCAGTTTCAGCTAGGCCTACTATGGCAGCTCTTTTGGAAAAAATACCGTCTGACTATAACTTGGGTAACTATGGTGACAAGCCATCAGATAACAGTGATGTAAAGACGAGGCCTACTCCTGTGAAGGGAGAGGAGAGCTGTGGTAGAATGCCGGCAGACTGGAGACAACAGCTGCTTAGACATATAGAAGCTAGAAGGTTAGACAGGGTATGTTTGGCCTTTCTCTGTAAGAATATCCCTCCTGCCTTTAGTTGTGCGTTATGGGCATTGCTAAGCACGTGTAGTGAAGCATGAACTACATGTATGAATAGATGATCAGCATTTTACTTATCTTGACATTGTGGGGGAAATGGATCCTTATAGTTTTTTTCCTGGTTATTGCTTAATGCTTTCTGAGAATCCCTAACCTGCAAGCAAATTATTTATCAAATTGAGCCTAAGTATTGTTAGTAAAACTTGGACTCTACCATATGGGTTGGTGCTAAAATTGCTTCCTAGCCATGACGGCAAGCCAAATGTCTCTCCGGGGACATGAAACTGTTCTCTAGTGGCCACAGGAGTATGATTTTTATTGAATCTATAAGAAGTGAGTCATTCACCCTTTTCTGCACAGATTCCCTTGTATTAAACTCAGGCATGGTTTGTTTATAGAATTTGCATATACTTACTGCTATGGGACTACTAAAGTTATTACTTCTAATGAGTAATAATCTTCCCAGCAAGAAACAGAAAAATAAAATAAGCAGAGATTAAATGCTCTCCTACACACTATTTTATTTAATAAAATTCCGGACATTCAGAATGTGGGTTTTTATATAGAAGAAAAATGTTTAAATTCAAATCATTCTACAGACAAAAAGAATAGATGGTGTCTTTATGGAGACTACAGATGTACAAATTAGCATGTATATTGTAGTGAAGAAGAGGAAATTAATCGTAATTCAGTTAAAAATTAAGTCATAAAAAGTGTGGAACACACAGTGATTGGACCAGTCTTTTAAAAGTATAAAGCCTAGAATTATTTTTTTGTCGCCTGTTCAAATCTCTCCAAGAGAAGTCTGGTGCTTCATTTGCTAGAACAATTACCAATTTGCCATCACAGCTCAGAATACTTTGTGGCTTTGGTGTGGAGAGCTTTGTGTACTCTGCATGGAATCTTTAAGATCCTTTCCCATGAAACTGAGGCCTTTTGTTCTCATTTTCTAGGTTTGAATGCTCTGTGTAAATTGGGAATCTGGGGAATAATCTGCTGTAGAATGTTTCACTGAATAGCTTTATCATTTTAGTTGGTGTCCTGCAAAAAGCTCAGGCCACTACATTTATTATGTATTTCTTTAATATGGAATTTTGTGTTTTCAGGTTTACTCTACTTAAGCAATTATATTATCTGTAGGCCGTGTCTACATGACAAGAAAACAATTTTTTAGGGAAAGCGTGAGCTGTTAAGTGTGGGTGCGGGTGTCAGTTTCTCAGTGTGGAAATTGGTTCTGCCTTGCAAAATACTTCATCAGAATGTCTGTTTCAAGTAGGTGTGCTCAGTCCCATTGAAGGGACCCTCATCAGAGCCTCATGACTGGCTGTCAGTGGGAGACACCTGCTCGGTTACACCCTCCATGTAGACAGATAACTTGGAGGGCGGAAATATTTGGGGCCAGATAATACAGTACAGTTTGGAAACTCTGGCCTCATGTAGACACGACCATACATAACAGGGTAAGATGAACTAGTCAAGAAAGGCTGTGAGAAGCATATGTACAATGACTAGTGATTTGAGGTGACAGAGGAGCAAGTGGAAACACCGTGAAAATGAAGATAAAGTTCTAAGTTATTTAGCACCATCATTTACTTACTGTTATCCTAGATAAATGTTTCCTCTCCTTTGACCCAACTTTGACAAAACAAGAGTTGGGGGGAGGGGTTGAAAGAATGGGGGAGAGGTATCAGCCGAAGTCAGGAGACCCTGCCTGTCTCAGATGACTAAACGTGAATTCATGTGCATTTTCCCCTACTATGATGACATTTCTCTTTTCCGTTAGTCTCCACTTATCCCGTCTGGTTATAATTCCCTCAGCCTATCATTAATTTTTGGAGCAACTTCAGTGTATATTCACTTTTCTGCCTTTCATTTTTGTTTTGTGGTAATACAGACCAAACCCAGACCTCATGTACACGAGGTAAATAAATGCTCTACCACTAAGCCACACCCCCTGCTCCCAAGATAGTTTCTCATTTAATTCCAACAAGTGAAATTACCATAGAATATTGCTTCAAGCCATCAGATCCTGAAAGCTCTTCCTTCTGTTTTTTCCAAGTAATAGTTTTTCACTCTTTTAATTGAGATACTGAACAATTCAAGCCATCTCTTACTTCAAACTTCCCAGCTATTCAGAAAGATGAATTCAGGGTACTAAAGCACAGATTTATTACATCGAACTTGTTTTGACATACTTGTGCTACTTAACATTCCACCCAAAGTCAGTCTGCACCAGACATGGAGTGCTTCTTTCCCACTGAAACTTAGTTGAACCGTTTGAACTCTGGAAACCAGATAGCTACACTAGAAACTGCAGGATCTTTGTGATTCCACATGGAAGACAACCACTTAGAGATCTGCTCCTTGGATGAGGTTAACAGTCCCGCATAATGCTGGCAGATGATCTCTTTTGACCTTAAAGAGGCAGCCCCAATACAACCCTAGATATAAATGTTGTGTTCTCCTTTAGTTTAATCACAATGCTTATGCCTCACTGTGACTGAGGAATTAAAACATGAACCCACATGTCTGAAGCTGCTACTCTTCTATAGGAGCTGAAAGGGCACTAGATTGAAGAACCCTAAAGAATCATCCAAGTGTCAGATGAGATGCTGAGGATCTTTTTCCCTTTTGGCATGGTGACCACAGAAAAATCTCCATATGAAATAACCAGGAATCCATAACAAATATGATTCGTAGACAAGCACATCATCAGGAGTATCATAATCTTTCAGTGTAGCTCAATGAAACTGTGCTACTAAAATTCATACTTCAGAGATAATGCTCTCAGAATAAAAGAGCTGCCACTGTCAATGCTCGATAATATCCAATTAAGAAAAAAATATACTAAGTTAACATCTGTGGATATTTTTCTCCAAAATAAGAATTACTTAAAAATGCCAAACACTGTTAATGGCTACATTTCCACTGTAGGTTAAAGATTTGTTGATAGGACATTTAAAATGTTTTAATTTTTCACTGAGGTCCTGTAGGAAAAATTTGTCAATCTCTTAGTATAATTTTAGGTACACCTGTTGAAGAGTAGCCGGGATATAAACATCACCACATTATTCTATAAATATGTAGGGAGTATTACATAAGTAACATTAATAATTCACAAAATATGATTACTTTAGTCTCACTGTGCAACTTTTCTACTCTAAAACACAATTTTTAAAAACAGAATAGTTGGATCCACATCCAGCTTATTTAATTGGCATTCCTGAATTAATAAGTAAATTCAATCAAATGAAAGATTAGATTGAATGATTTTTTTTTTTTTGGCCAGCAGTTTTTCTGAGTTGCTGTAATTACGCCTCTAGACAGAGTGATCAAAAAATGATTTTGGTTTTAACATTGCAGTGCATTAGTGTAACGCAGAATTAGAAGTTAATATTTGTCTTTCATATGTGTTGGTCTCACAATGAGAAAAAGACCATGAAATTTTATAGCTGATAAGATTTGATCACGTTCTCACTATTTGAATTTATTTTCAAAATTAATAGACTATACAGATGACAATACTTGTCCAAAGTCCCTGCTATTGTGACATATGACAGATGTTGTGCCTTTGAGTTATCAGCAAGTACCAACAGAACGTACTTTCTTTGCTTTCTGTCTTTTCTGTAGTTTTGGATGGTACTCATTATGTGGAAAACTAACACTGTTTACTGTATGCTTCTGTCTGATCGAGTGCATGTGTGAAAATGAAAGTTACTGTTTGCCTGCTTAAAGTTAAATGTTATAAATTTAAACATGTTCATGTAATAATCAGTTTGTGGAGCATGTGTTCACATCCTGTCACATGATTATCTCCTCTACTCAGAATGCTGCTTACAAACACAACACAGTTAACCTTGGCATGCTGCCCTATGGAGGTATTTCAGCAATGCATGCAGGCAGAAGCATGACTTTAAACTTGCAGACTAAGTCTAAATTTGATCATCAAGAACTACCTCTTCAGAAAGTAAGTATGGACTGCCCTACATGTGTCAGCATACCAAAGGTGATTAATGTTGTTTGTTCACTTAATGTATTTAGGCTGTACATACAACCTTGTTTACTGTAGACTCTCATGAGTCCAAAAAGCACAAGGGAAAATAATGTAGAGCCTAAATTCTTAGCTGCTAAATGTATATTTGTAGCTAGACTGATTATCAGGACCATGCTTTTTGGATTGAGCAGGTACATGGCTATTTGTGTTGGTTTAGTTAAGGCTCATTTTTCTTATTACTCATTTTTTCCTCTTTTTTGTTTTCCGTTCTTTTGTATTTAAGGGGGTTTTTTGTTGGGGTTTTTTTTGTTGTTGTTGTTGTTAGCCCTTTCTTCTTTTGGTAATGCACCCTGAAAACAGAGCTGTAAATTATTATCGGATTTCAGTTCATTCCTTTTGAAAAGCCATAGACTCCTAATTACAATGGAAGTTAAATATTGTTGGCATTTCCAAGTGTTTTTTCAGTCTGCTGTCTTCGTGGGGAATACAACACAGAAGTGAAGGAGGAGAAACAAGTTTGTGGCTTAGCCAGCAGCTGTTACTTTTCATAGGTTAATGGGAAGGTAACAAGTTGACACTTCTTAAAATGAAAATGTGGGCACATTTGAAAGGGAATATTTCAAAGAGGAAACATCTTCATTGTCAGAGAAACATTTCTGCTTGTTTTATAAGGCAAAATTGAGAATGCCTATTTCACCTGTTTAAATTGATTATCCTTTTTAAATTTACATTTGGGTGGATACTGATGAATCATTTTCATACAATGTGTCATTATGGCTATATATTAATATAGTCATTAGCTAGTAAGTTTTTATGAAAAAAGTAATGCAATGAGCAATATGAGAATGATAGCGTCCTCCAAACATGTCTTCTTTTTTATAATATTAATGAAAATATGTAACAAATTCTTATCCCAGCCAAATGAGGGTCATAATATCTCAAATTCATGTTTTATTTTCAAATTAGTCTTTAATAACGTTCCCCTAACTCTAGACAGTCTGATTCCCACTGTGAGCAATATTTAAAAACATTGAACAGACATTTACATCCACATCTTTCTCAGCATCCAAAATCTCTTAAAATACAAGAGCGTAAAACCCTAACTAAGCTGAGAACTTTTGAATACTGTTTCACCTGTCTTCAGGCTCCTGTGGCACGACCGCTGATGTGCTGATAACTTTCTCTCCATTGAAAAAAATGAATGTGTGACTTGCAATATTCACCAATGTCAGGAATCCCACAGAGAGTCCCCCTGTGACCAGTTCTAAGGCACCAACTGAGCATCCCTGACCTCAGAACTGGGGGGACCCAGGCACAGGTGGTTCCCGGACAACCCCAGCGTGGCTGTTTTTACCTGAGTCCAGCAACACCGCAACCTGTTCTTTGTGTCCTCTCAGATGCCCACTGCTCCCATCCTCTTTCCTAATGAAACCAGGCTTCAAAAAGGCTTTGAAAATTATCTGCACTAAGGAATAGATGAGCTGGGCCAACTTAAATGAACACCTATCCTAGAGAACGTGAGGTAAATAGAAATCAAACCTTTAAACTAAAATAATGAAATTTCAAAACTCATTGAGCAGCTTGACAAGATCCTGAGGTAGAAGCAGCTACTGCCTGACTCCCTGGAAATTATGACCAGTGCAAACTCCCTTGTTTTGCCTAGTCTTTGGCCCTATTTACTCACTGATCATGGTATAATGGATACATCATGGTATAAATGCATACAGTACCTGAAGGATGCTGAAACAGTGTCGCTCGATGTCTAAGTCATTCTCCGGATATAAATATGTACATCTGTACTGCTGTATTAATTTTCTCATGGGTTTGAGTGCCCTAGAGAATGAATTTGTCATCTATTACTGTAGCTCTGAAATGTCCTGCGACAAAAGTAATGCAGAGTCATCACTGCATACTTTTCAGTCATTCTCTAGCACAGAGCTGACCCATAGGAATTGTCTTTGGAAGTCACATTAAATTGCAAACAAAGAACAATGCAAGGATTGAGAGACTTAATAAATTATCGGTGCGTTATTCCCTACATGAAAAAGAGGAAAAAAGGGGAGGAAGAAGAGGAAGAGGAAGAGGAAGGGATGAAAAAGGCTCACAGGAGGGCCAGTTCTCCATTACCCAAAAGATTTATGATTCAAAATTACCAGTTAAGTGCCAGGCATCTGGGAAAACTTTCCCACCTCAACACCAGCCTACAAACCTTACAAAACATGGGATGGCTTATCAGTTTCTTGAACTGAATTGTTAGTTACAGGCTCTGCTCCTCCCATGGGGTCCAGTCTGAGTCTCCATCTTTTCACTTTGTGCCCAAATATATCCCTCCTGTGGAGCTTTGATTTGAAAATTTGTTTTTTCTACCATTCTTTAGAGTCAAACCTTCTTAAAACGCAGTCTCCCAATCTTCCATTCTTGGCACAGTTGTCCTTTGCTGGCTGGTCCCATGATGTGAGGGAGGTGTAGTTTCCCTGAACTCTTCCTGCCGGGAAAGGAGATAGGCAAAAGCCATTTTCCTTTGACTTAGAAATATATAAACATCTGTTACACTTTTGTCTTGCTACTTGAAATAACAAAAATGAGTGTCTCGGGCACTTAAGTCTTCTTTGCAGCCCCTTACTGCTCATTGGCCATGAGAATTGCACTAAATGTATAAATTTGTAAATATTTCTAGTAAATAAAATTGGCGAAACTGTTCATTCTCCCAGCGATATTCTGGACCTGTCTCTATTATTCATAAAATTCCATACTGATGATGCTGGCTATTTCCAATTAGGTGTTATAAATCACTCTGAGCTGTAGGAGAGAGGAAGCGTGAAGTTTCCCAAGGAATCCAAATGAAAGCTTTCCCCTGTTCCATTCATGGGGTGGTGCTCTTTACTAGGAACAGGCAGGGCTGAAATTAGACCCTGCCCCATCCTCTCTGCTTTCCCGATCTCATATCGAGGCCTCTCATATCCAGGAGGAAGGAAGATCACCTTCTGAATTTCCTCTACAGAACTATCTCTGAGCAAATATGTAATAGACTAATTTGAAGATGTAGCTATTTCTGAATGAGACTAGTACTTATGTAACAAATATATGATGAAAAGGGAAGACACCCCCTGGGTTTGCTATGTATTTAAATATTTCCAAATTTTTTCTCTTTATTACATGTCAGGTCAAGTATTATACACTTTTCATGGGTTAAAAGCTAAATAAGGACTTCATTTTCTATGATCATTTCATGGAATCCTTAAAGTCAATAACATAAATGCCAACAAATACAAGAAAATTAGTTTCATGAATTAATTTCCTTTAATATTTCCATCTACTAATGTTTGTGCTGATTTTCTATAAATTTTCATAGTAGTTATGAACTACAACATTTGGTATATAAATCAGCTGTTCAAAAAATTGTCAACATTTTTATTTTTCTTCTTCCACTCATTCATTTGTTCATTTATCATTTGTTTCCTGCCTTTCCAAAAAGCATTTAAAGCAACTTTCTATGATGTTATTAATGGTTCCATGTGCTTCCTCGGATGTGTTCTACTGTAATTGAGCTTAGCTATTGTCTTGAAGCTTTATGTTATCAGAGAGAAAAACAGCATTGTAAAAAAAAAATGCCACTTCAAACTACCATTTTTATTGTCCAGATGAATGGTAGAATAAATAAATACTTTTATTGGGAGAAAAATGAAGACTAGGTATTATTCAGAACGTGCTGTGTACCCGGTGCCATGAAGTACTTTACATGTGCTTTTTTTCTTGCAACTCATAAAAACCCTCAAAAGGTATATTTTTCTCCATGATGAGGAAACAGACTCATGTGTCACGCAGAAGGTGGCACTTCTATTTTTATGATTTCACTGTACCTGGAATGTAAATCTGACTCTCCTTGGTACCCAAACCTATGCTCTTTCTGCTATATAACAATGCCTTCTGAAATGTTTATAAAACCTTACATCTTCAAAGAACATAACTCATAACCGTCCATAATCCTCCTTCATAGACACTGTAGTCGCACTCATCTTCAAAACAGTCCAAAGAAGTACCTATGGGATTGGAAAACAGCGTACACAAAATAGAACAGACTCCCACAGCACGAGACCCCGACTGTTCCCTGGGTACCAAAGGTACCCACAGGTACAGTGCTTTTAGTTGGCCGAGCCCAGTGACATCGTGATTGCCTTGTGCTTTTCAGATCCACCTGCATTTCCTGTGCTTTCATTCTGCTAAGAAATCTTCTTTGTGGCAGTGCAAGGCCGAGTGTTACAGACCCAGCAAAACCACACGTTACTCTCCAGACTGCTGTAGCCCCAGTCGCTAGCAGGGCTAGGAAAGAGGTCACTGGCCTTTTCGACCTCCCTTCTACAGGTGTCTGGCTCCCCGTAGGAACAGTCTGGTCTCTGCGACACTGGAGACATTTGTCATTTTCTTTCTGTTCTTTTTGATGCATTTCTGTTGCCGTAATATTATACCGTAGAATCTGTTGCTTATTGGCTTATTAGAATCAGACACTGAAATAGATTAATTAGAACTTCAGGAGGGAAGAGACTGAAGTCATGGAAATGTATAGATGAAATAATTGCTTCACAGAGTTTTGCCTGGGAGAAAATGGCCTCACTATCTTTTTTATTAGTTGATAATAGTTGATACTCATCTCACCAGCTTTGAGTTAGAGGAATTCAAATAGCGATATTTGTACCTAAACTATTTTTAAATTTCTAATGTTCTTTTTTACTGGGCCTATGCAGATGACTTGGGATCAGACAGAACCATGATTTGCTATGCATTTATTCACCCTTGTGCCAAGGATTACCTCCTTAATGCCATTTTTTTTCTCCTGCTGAAAGCCAAGCAAGATTTATGCTGTACCTCAGGGCAACTCATGCCTATAATTCCTATCGATTTTGTTGCAGTTTTTATTGGCTACCTATCCCTCAAGAAAGATTCACTTACCTTCTAATTATGAAAAAAGCCTTCAGTCTGTAAACCCACATAAATCCTCAAAGACAGTGGCTAAAATTACCAAAATAATGCTACTACTTATATTGCTGCTTCATCATCATTATAATGAAATGCTGCTTTAAAAATCACTTGGGCTTTGCATTACCACCTTCAGATTGAACCCCACAAAATCCTAATTATTTAGATCTTAGTTCAGCATATATTTCCCTTTGGAATACTTTTTTTTAAAAAGCATGCTGAAAAAATAATAATAATAAGTTCATTGGAAATAGTGCGGGGGCAGATTGTTTTTAACACTTTTTAATTTATGGTAATGCCCTCTATGAACTATGTGCCAATTACTAAACAAAATAGATGTTTATTTTTGTAGGGAATATGCTCCAAGATCTTTGCGAAGTGCCAAATTCTACTTCCAGTCTTATGTAACTTTTCCTGCAAAATGGCAATAAATAGAATCTCAAAAGCACACTGTGTACCCATCGATTAGGAGGCAAGAGCAAGGCTGCTTGATCAGCTAAGCTGACTGACTCGCTTGTGCAAATGCTGTTCATATACCTGCTCACACACATATGCATGGATGTGGAAACACATGCACACATTTACATGTGCAAACAGGCAGTTACAGAGAGATGCATACATTTGTGAACATTTATGTCTCAGCAAAATTAGAAATCACTTCTTTTAATGCATATTCGTGATTATTCAGAGTAGCCAAAATCATAAATGTTAAATGTACAAATGTCAACACTAGACTGGTGCTACATCTGTTCAGCAAGTACTCTATATAACATTACTGCATTTCTTATCAAATATAAAATTTTTGCTTTTTCACCAAATCGCACTGGCCATTTCCTCTATTATTTTGAAATATTAAAGACCTAGAGAACTTAAAATGTAGTACTGCACTGTGAAATTTTTCCACGTATTTTGTCTTTAAATGATTATATGTGATGGTAGGAATAAGACTCAATCTTCAAAGTATCTAAAGAAAATATCAAGAATGTGCTATGAAAAATAATTAAATTAATAACTGAATCTCAGTTTGATAATAAACTTCAACAGCTATAGCTGTTGCTCCTTTTTTTACTTTTTCAGTTGCTCCTTTTATCTTTCATAGAATTTCAATAGCTAAGCAACTGAGTTTATACATATAGGTATACTCTTTTGAGGAAAAACGTGAACACACTACATAATTCTCTTTTCTATCCCCTTCACTACCTCTCAGCATCAATAAATTGCTTTTATGGGCTTTTTATTTCCACAGACTTAAATCCCTCCTACGGTGCCTCATTTAAGAAAAAACAAAATGGCAGATCATTCTGGAAATTAATAAAAGAAATTGCTCTTGGGAAATTCCTTTAATATTGTGATCTAGACAAAGTATCTTTTTAATGTGTCTACATGTTTATGTTTCCTTTCTCCCCTGTAGTACAGAAGAATTGGTGTGATGGTTAATTGTAGTTTTTAAAAGAGAGAGATTAATTTATAAACTAGTGAAGAGCATAGATAGAATTAGGATTTTGATAAAACGAGATTTAACCTTTTTATGACAAAAAGCATTTTGCCCTTCTCAGTTGCTCTCTAACAGTGACTAAGAATCAAGTCTGGATGAAGCAAGCATAGTGGAGGAAATGGAGACACTGATGGGAAGGATGTGGAGAAAAGTGAAGCAAATGTGTGTTATGAATATATCAGTCTTTAAAAAGTAAATGTGAAAGCAGATAAGCAATGAATAGCTACCTAGTTATCTTTAAGTAACATTTCCTTTAAATATGAAACTTACTTAAAATTTGATTTTTCAAAAAACATAAATGAATTTATTACTAATTACTCCAAGACTTTAAATTCACTAACTTTTTCCATTTTATTTTGCTTTCTGATCTGCTTATGAAAAAAATTCATATGGCCAAAGTAAAAAAAAGGATTATTTATTATATCCAGTAAGTCCTAGGAAGACTTGATAGAGTCTCAAAATAAACCCACTTTAAAATATTCCCAACCCAATGCTTTAAAAAAAAATCCATGTGGTCAAAATACAGTTAGTGGTTATGTAATTGGGTTTTAAAAGAGAACCAATCAGGACCACACAGTAGAGCCACAGTAGCCTGACAAGGCTGACAAGTAGCCCCTCTGTGATGCCCCAAGTTCTCCATTCTCCCTCACTAATGCTGGAGGTCACCTCTCACACAGAGGCAGCTGTGCACACGTTCCCAGCAAGGCTGGGTGGTACTAATCCTTCTGAACACGTGCAGAAGATGGCAGCCCCATAAAAGACCCCAGAAAACCAAGCAGAACTTGTTCATCTGAACGCTAAGGGAGGAAAAAGCCCTTGGAAAAAAAACGTTTCCTATGTGTGTGTATACATATATATAGAAGAATGCAAAGAACATGTATATATACATGCACTGTACATACCAGTATACATCTCCACAGGGGAAGCTTTCTGATGGTCTAGGACTGGTATTACTTGCTATTACTCTATTTAGAATAGGAAGTTCTCCTAAATATCCAATATTAGGGATAATAAAGGCCAGGTATTGTTATTTATTAAAAATAAGCAGGAAATCAGCCAAAAATGAAAAAATCTTTGAAGAGCTTAAACTTTATGTATGATATATATAAATTTAGTAATCGGAAGTCATGATTTATTTTTACTGTGATTCTTGTAGCATAATATTTTTGATGTTGGTTTAACCTTTCTCCAAAGCTATCCGTCAGTAGCATCATAGTACTTTGAATCTTGCACTATGCGAGTCTTAATACTGTTTTGGATTAGTGAAAGGCGTATTCTCCCAGAATCATTACAACCTTATGGATTATGGTTTGGAATGTTATAAGTTCCATACTATGGATTACATGGTTTCAGTTTATATTCTAAATGGTAAGATAATACTAAAGAGACAAACTAGGAAAGCTTTAAAATGTTGTCGCTTTTAACAGTTGACTTTATTGCGATTATTTTTATTCAGGTACTATAAACAATTTAAAGTTGTTTTTAAGTCAGCAAATAACTCTAAGATGTTTATTTTATTTGTATTTTTTACTGCTTCCAAAAAACTATAATTGAGAATTTATATTCAGCAGATAGTATCTAATAATATTTTCAGTGAGGATATATTTTTTCTACAATCAAACAAAATTAATTTTACCATAATTATTAGGGGCTCTTTTCAGAGAACTATGATAAACTTCTATGACATCACTAAAGAATGCCATACCATTTTTGCAATAGACCCCGTCCCAGCAAAGCAACATTTTAGACAATGGACAAGAAGATGTGTCTCCTAGTGGCCAATGGAACCCTTACCCCCTTGGGAGGCGGGATGTACCTCCGGACACCGTTACTAAAAAGGTAACCAATTTCAAATTGATGACACAAACCATGAACCTTGTACGTTCGTTGTAATATGTAACCCTATCTGTGTCTTAGCATCATTTCTAACTTTGTTGATAACTTCAGACAAGATATTTTTCCACTCTAAACGTCAGTTAACACTAAGTACACTGAAAAGAATGGAAAATGAACACTGCCAGGTGTTGGTAATGAATGCTCGTGAACACCCTGCCACCCCTCTGCAGATGCTGTAGCGCCACTCTTAAGAGTGTCATGAGATACTCGTCGAAGTGCGTGTGTAGAGAGCTGTGTGATATGCACTTCTGCCTCTCTTTGCTTCCACAATGGGCTGTAGCCAATTTGCATAAAATGAATTTTGACCATAAACAGATTGATTTACCATTTTGAAAGTCATAGAAATGCATCCAACAAACGTTTAGTGAGCAATGAGTAATGTGCACTACTGTGTGTTGAGCACTTACTAGATACTGGTGAAAGAAAAATGAAGAAGATACTTTGCATCTGGCGAGGTAGGTTAAGGGATCAGTAGGTACCAACATTACTACCTGCTAGGTCACCATAACAGGTGTAAAAAGAATGCTATAACCAAGAAGATATTTGCAATATATTATCAGGCTCAAGGGATTTGTATGCCATAGTATATTTTTTAAAACTCTTGAAGATCAATTAAAAACAACATGTAACACAAGTTTTTAAATTGTAAAATACAAAGAAAACTAAGAAGGTACCTAAACATTAAAATAAAACAGCCCATTTTATCAATGAGGAAAATGAAAAATCTGACTGGCAAAAATGACCAGGTTTGAGAAACGCTAGTTGTTTGCAGGTTTAGGGGCCAAGGAAACTTCTGTACTCCTGGGAATATAAAGCACAGTCTCTTGGTAACGAGTTACCTTGTGAAGATGAACATCCACGCACCCTGCCCTCCCCCAAACCTCTGAAGGTATTGAACTAGAAAAACTTGGATGTATCATTCAGGATACTTCGAATGCTTACAATACCAGAAAATTGGGCAAACTCACATGTCGATAAGCAGAAAATATGTAAATTCTGTTATTCATACAAAAGTATATTTCATAGCAATAAAAGTTAGTAAATAGACTAAACATATGGAGAAAAGTTCCAAGCCATGGCACACATCAAAAATACTATATTTCTGGGCCAGGGATGTAGCTCAGGGACGCCACGCCTGCCTGGCAAGCACAAAGTCCTGAGTTTGATTCCTGGTACCGAAAAAAAATTTAAAATATAATATTTACAAATCTCAGAAACAAAACTAAAACCAGTTATCCCTAAGTACATGCGTAAGGCTTTTTAGAAGGATATAAGAAACATAATATTTAGAATTATGATGACCTCTGAAGGGAAATCACAGGGTAAGACAGAGGAAGAGGCAGGTGGCATTGTGGATGCTGTTCTCGTTCTTAAATTCTCTGGTTCTCGTGGCTCTTATTCTAGTTTTCAAGCTCAAGAGAGTCTATTGTACGATTGAACTTCGTAATTTACATATTCATTACATAAATACATACATTCTTTGTCATCTTGGTGAATTTCCCCCTTGATGACTATGTCAGAGCTTTGCAATGATGTGAAATATCTAGTTATTTTTTCTGAGATAATTGGGAATACCTTGATTTCCAGGTGCTGTGTATGCTATTAATTTGCCTTCTGGGTGATATCCAGCACTCCAGGTAAATGTAACATGATGTGATGAGTGATGAGACAGGATAGGGCTGTCTTTAGGAAGGAAACAGGAAAGCAGAAACAGAAGAATGGAAGCAAATAAGGCTAGGAAGAAAAGTAGAAGCCAGATCATTCTGGGTTTTATCTGCTGAGAAACTGAAAAAAGAACATTGAAGCATTTTAAGCGGTGAAAGCACATGATCAAGTTTTCATTTAAAGAGCACACTGATGGCTTTTCAGTGAATGCGCTAGAGAGAAAAACTTGGGACAGTGGAATGAGTTAAGAAAGTTCCTAGTAATCCAGGGGAGAACAGACAGACAGTAAAGGGAAATGCGTGGATTTAATTTTTTCTTTAAAAGTAGAGACAAAAGCATCTTGTGATTCACTGGACATATGTCAGGGAAACAGATAAAAGTTCCAAGATTGTCATCCAGTTTTCTAATTTGGTCATTAGTTATAATGTCCCAGTCACTAACATGGGAAATACAGAAAGAGTAATAGATGGAAGTGGAGGAAAAGAGGGAAGCTTGTGTTTTAATACATGGACTAGAGGCGTCCTGAGGGCATCTGAGTGTGTGTGTAAAGTGAATATGTGATTATACTTATCAGAAGCTCAGCAGAATAATCTTAGGTCGATACATACATTTACAAATCACCAGAATGTATGTGTAATTGAGTCAGGAGTAGATTGAAGAATGACAGAAGGGTCCCATGAGACACCAACATTTAAGAGACAGACTTAGGAAGAAGAGGCAGAGAAGGAATAACCAGAGACTTTATCAGATGCCTTCTCCAAATTATAGAAAGTTCAAGAGAAACGGCCTTGAGCATTAAGGAAATAAATAGCTACCGTAGGAAGTGGTCAAGATCTAGAGTGAGCCTGAGATGTAGCCCTCAGTTCTAGAGGATATTTTTAATGACTTAGGGTTTGTCCCTTTCCATTCTGCTATCATACTCTCCTTGGCTTTACTGGTGCCTCTCAATTATAAGATTATTTTCAACAATGATCAGTGATATTCCTCTTTCAAATCTAGCAGGAGAGAGATATAAGCTTCCTGTAGCTGTTTCTTATTTGCAAAACCTTTCTGCCTCAAATCTCTCAGCACCCTCTTCATACATCTCATTGATGCAAAAAACTAAGGACTTTCCACTGCTGCAAGAGGAAGGGAGTTTGGTGTTTGGCTTTAACTAATCAATTGCAGTGATTAGTTAGGAGTCTCAGCTTCAAAGACCACTAAAAATGGGTAGACAGAAAGATAAGGAAAACTTCACGTTGGGGAGAGTCTAGGCAACAATGTCAAATGATGCTGAAAAAGAAAAAACTGAAGTGAGATAAACATGCCTAAAGACTCTTCGAATTTAGAAACCTAGAAAACTCAAGGAAGGGGTTCCTTTTTGAAAGAAAATAGTGCATTCCCCAGAGGTGTAGATGGAAATATAAAGAGTAGCTAAGATGATGGACATCTGAACATAAAGGGTGAAAGGAAATGCCATTACTGAAGGGGAAGTTGGAAATAGCAGACAAGAAAAGAGAGAACTGCTTTGTTGTGAGAATAGCAAGAGAATGTTTGGGTCGGCAGGATATTCAGAGTGCCTATGGGAGCAAAGTGTGCTGTGCAACCAAAGAAGGGTATCGTATTATGTAATTACAGAAGGTTGCTATCATTTTGCCTCACAGCAAAAAGTCTTGTTCATTTATTACCCTGCATGGAGCTAGCAGGTGTTTACTTTATCCATCCACACAGCCATTTTATACGACGTCTGTTTTCCAAGTCCATACTAATTGTGTAATCACAGCATCGACACGTATCATAATGATCATCTTCTTGCCTTCCTATTTACTTTAAGGACCCCATGTAATCCTGTGATTGCTTAAATATCTGTGTACAGGTTAACCTTGTTAAATGCTAACATAACTGTTTGATCTATCCAAAAACTTCATTAATCTTTATGCTTCTTGACAAGTGTGAAATAACATATGTCTAAAACATTTGTCATGTCTACAACATATAAAGTCATTTGTATCTTCCTGCTATTATGATAAATGCTTTTGATTGCCCTATATTGTTACAATTTTGCCTATAATCTAAGGTCTTAGAACCTACAAGTAGCTATGTCTACCTCTTTGGATGGTGGTTTGTTTGTTTGATTGTTTGTTTGTTTGAGGCACAGAATCTTGCTCTGTTGCCTTGGCTCATCTCAAACTTACAGACCAATCAGTCCCCCTTCCTTAGCTTCCAGAAAAGCTGGGACTACAAGTGTGTGCCATGATACCCAGCTTGTCTACCTGCTACCTCACAGAATAGAGATAATGGAAGAATGCTTTAAATATTCCATTTCAGGTATTTTAATATCTAGTTGAATATGCTAGGTTAAAATTCAGCGAGAATCAATTTAAGAAAATAATGAAGACAGTAACAGGAGGATTAGCCTGGGCTGCAGTATTTATAGAAATAAGTGTAATATTGTATTATTATTTATTGGGTTTATATTATACTCTACAATGAACATTTTTTAAAAGTTAAAGTTACTTTTGCAATTGTGGTGAGCTGGTCATTAGGCAGAGCTGGAGAATGGAAAGGTGGAGAGTGAACTGCAAATGAAATGAGGAATTCAAGGAGAGCAAGTGGTGAAAATACTTAGGCAAACCCATTCGAATCTATTTCTCAACACATCTGCAGAAGAAGACGCCTAGGTCATCAGAAAATCTCAGGATGCACAGAGATTGGCTAGAAAATCAGTTATAGGGAAAGGCTTGTGTTGAACTCATGGCAGTCTGCTGTAACTCTCATAACTCTTTGGTGACTAGTATTGGTATACTCGTAGCCATGCCTTGCAGTACTGTAGAAAAGCAAATGAAGGTCCCTCCAAGCTGTAGATCCAAAGATTTAGACCCATAAAACAGACAAAAAGTGTTTATCTCTCAAGAAGAATTTTGCTCCTGTATCTTCTGTCACTGTCCTCTGCACCGAGACTGGCTGAGTGACTGAGCAATGTTGAGGTTTTTAAATCCTGTCTTGTTTTTTGATGGTGTAACAGGAGGTGGTCAGTTTTATATGCCCTCTTGCTATGTTAGTCCCCAAAACCTCAACTTTTGATAGCCATTAATTCAAAAAAATCTCATCACTACTAAAAGAACATGTTACTTTTATGGAAATCCCCTCCAAAAGAAATAATTCCAGGCAATGCTATATCAGTACTTCAAGAATTGTTATCAAAAACGTTTGCAATGGCTGAAAGCAACCATGGTTTCAGAAGTGTTGGTATTCTAGAATTCTAATGCATTGCTTCTCTCAGTCTAGTGTATTATGCT